TCAATTAAGTTGCGTTTGGGTGGCTATTTCATTACACTGTTGAGGGATCTTCTATTAGAGCGTGCCTGATCTCCCCCCTCGTCAGACACGCTTACTCTTTTAAATGCTTTTTAAAAGAGCCACCATAGCGTTTTCCACCACCACGACCATTAGTACGAGGGCTGGGGCACTCACCTTGCATGTGTCCCCAACCTTGACAATTGTAACATTTAATGTTGGTATTGTTTCTGGGTTTGTTACCAGCATTAAAGTTACGTCGACCGCCAGGAACACCATTAATAGCATTGACTAGTTCACGGATTGCATTCAAATCCATCGATTCATACTGAGGTTGCGGTACATTCGGCCTAATAGGTTGAACTACCTCGTCTTCACCAGCACCTTCGATGGCAAGAGCCAAGCGCTGAGCTTCCTCCAGCGATTTGGGAAAATGAGATCGCACAGCATGACGAAGAGGTTGTTTTAGTCCTCTCACAAACTTGTCTTGAGCTACACCAGGCGTCATATCCGGGATCTGTAATAGTAGACGTCTGAATGCGTTGATATAACTCGTAACATTCGAGACTTGAACCAGATTAGCCATACCATCGCGCGCCTTGGCAATGGCATCGATTGGTATGAATTCATTACGTAATGCCGTCTTGAACGTTTCCCAATCTTGTGGTGTATGCTCACTATCAAAGGCACTCATCTGTGAGTACCACAATTGAGCATCATTTCGCAACAGAGAAAGTCCAACCAAAAGCTTTTCTTGGGTGTTTTCAATCTTTACCAAGGAGAAATACAACTCCAAAGAGTAAATCCATGCGTTTAGAACAATAGCGTCTCTTTCACCATTAAAAACATCGGGTTCACGGACCTTGCGAACGTAACCAGAGTTGTTACCAACAATATTTGCACTTGACATAGTAATATCTTCGTTCATAGACTTGTAGAGAACCAGAGAAAATCAGAGAGAACCAGAGAAACTTGTAGAGAAACCAATAACGAACGTCAAGAGAGCCTTGAAAAATAACCTTGAGAGATAACCTTTAGAATAACCTTGAGAAATAACTTTGTAACTTGAATTTGTTTTTTGTCCTGCTGCTACCAGCTGTCGTCTTGATAGATAGATCCAATGGTAGGAGTTAACAAATAACTTAGAGTGTAACTAATAGATTGAGATTATGTTTGAAAATGCTGTTTATTGAATGCATTTACAACTTATATTTATACTATTTCTGCGATCGATAATTACTTAATCAATGGAACTTTCGAGTAGATATAGTACTTGATATAGCAACTGATAATCAGATCAATGCTTGCTATCAGTTTCCAGAACCTTCGAGTATACGCTGGCGCCTTTTAGTCGCTTTCTTCAAATTTGGTTTAAACCTAAATTTAGGCACGACAGTTTTCTGAATAGATAAATTCAATTGTAAGAGTTAACAAATGACCCAGAGTGTAACTAATAGATTTGAGATTATGTTCGAAGATAATGTTTATTGATTGCATTTACAACTTATATCTATACTATCACTACGATCGATAGCTACTTGATCAATAGAACTTTCGAGTAGATACAATACTTGATATAGCAACTGATAATCAGATCAATATCTGCTGCTATCAGTTTCCAGAACCTTCGAGTATGTGCTGGCGCCTCTTAGTCGCTTTCTTCAAATTTGGCTTAAACCTAAATTTAGGCACGACATTGTTAAAATCGTTTTGCTCTCTCATCCCCACTCTCATTGTTTCAGTTTCTGCTGTCTTTGTGGTAGTTTCTGTCGCAGTGAAATCAGGTTTAAATAGATTTCACAAAAAAAAAGCAATAGTAAAATACAATAGAAATCAACTGTATTTTATTTGTGTATAAAATAAACTGAAGATCCTGGAATTGAGTAAAAAAAAGAAGAGTATTTATACATTTGCATCTGGCTTGTAGGATTAGTGATGATAGAGAGCAATAGGTGCTGCTATTGCGATATCTGGCAAATGTTGTTGATGTTTGATTTAAAGTGGTAATCAATGCAGGAGCACTGGCCATAAGGGTCGATTTGAGTAACCTTGATGGGCTTGGGTGAGCTATCGTCATAGCATGATTTAATGTAACCTTGATGGTTTAAAGTGTGATGTTTGTTATTGAAGCATGGAATCCTTTATCTGGGATATTGTGCAACTATGGCAGCAGGGCATAGTTGTCATATTTGAATATGCTTGTTATTGATTTAATTCTATTTGGATAAAGATACCATCACCTATTACGACCATCATGGGTGTGATTGAATACACTGTGATCAGGAGTGATTCATTCACACGATGTGCGATATAAGCGTGTATCTTTACTTTAGTATATTTAAATAGTTGCTGATGTACATTTGAGGGCTTTTACTAATAGATCCAAATAGCATGAATTTGATTGAGTGCTATTAGGTGAATTTCGGTTTTCAATCAAGTTGCGTTTGGGTGGCTATTTCATTACACACTGTACTCTTATTACAATTTGCCTCTCAGATATGGTTTATGTACTAGGCAAAAGCATGTGAGGTTGAAGCCATTATCGAACAATACTTTGCATACAATGCAAACTCACGATGCTTCTGATCTGTAATGCTCGTGCCCAGTTTACTTCTTATTAGGCTTTACCTTTCCTTAAAGCGGGCCAATTTGAAGGCGAAGAAAAAAAATGCAGTTACTACCCTATTTTTTTCAATGCAACAAGGAGTGTATGTAGCATATTTTTTATAGGAACTATTCTCCTTGGTATATGAGCCCTGCCAATGCTGAAGAGTGTGATTTGAAGCTTATATTGTAAAGCAAATATAACATTTTTGACAACATATATTATGTATTCTACAATAGGCAATGATCCTATATTTTTTGCTTTATTTTATTCGTATAAAAAGGTCTACAATACTTTAATGCCACGTTATTATTGTTTATCATTTTTGTTACAATGATACCCGAGTTCAAAAGGAAGCCAAAGCTACAGTCCTTATTGTGGACAGCAAAAACAGCACTTAAATAGAGATGAACGGTATCAATCAACAAACCTATATATTACTGTCAAGTGTACTTGTATCTGTTGAATCGCATCATCCAAATTTTTAGAGCAGTGCTTACTTGTCTATCAGTACATTCAGTGTGTGCGCACAAAAAAAATCTCACATAGTTGCCATTATTTTACTTAAATGGGTCAAGTAACTCAAGGGGTTTCCCTTCTTTATCAACAACAAATGTCGCTATAAGTATTCTCCTACTCTGCTCTCGTTAATATCATGATTTCAGAATAGAAAATTGCAGTAAAGACCTCTTCTTATTATGTCCAGGTGCCAAACATTCTTGATGTTGGGAACAATTGCCTCACTGAAGAGTCTTGATGCAGTTTGTGTTCGATGTCCTTCCTATTTACCTGCAAGCAAGCAGCAAATCTCGGTTCGAGATTATAATACAGGAACACGATGCGTATACAAGACTACGCTGCTGACTGACATTTCGGAAATAGATCTATGCATTTGAATCAGGTCAGTGCTATTGAGCAATGTCGTGTTACAAATGTTCTCCAAGTCTGTTTATGCAACCAAAATAGCGATAAATTACTTGATGTAAAATAACATGGGACGAGTTGTTACGTTCAACCGCATTCCATTGCAAGAGATATCTATTTGTATGAAATCAAAACGCAAGACTCAAGCTCAGAACCTAATAATCAGCTTGTTACTGGAAGCAAAGCCCCCAAAATGCCATAAGCTCAGAAAAAACAGAAAAATGAAGATTGAGGGTTTTACTAAAATGTCGATGCAATGCCTGATTGTAGTACAGAGACCAAGCGTTACATTCAAAAAGAACAAAAGTTGATCTTAACAGTGTTGAAAAAAATGTCAGATTGCGAAATGAATGTAACATTTTGAGAATCAACTGACAGTTCATTATTTACATTTATATAGAAAAGGGTAAAAGCAGTGTTGTTGTTATTATTGCTGTTATTTACTATTTAGCTTATGCTTGATTTGTATGTCAAGATGCTGACCGATGTTAGCTAAATGTCATCAACTGGTAAATCAACCCTGGGGTACACGATTGAAGGCTGTATCGTTGGAGACTGGATGATAGTGTTCATGGCAATATCAACAATAACCTTTCGCCTTCTTTTCTTCTAAAAATTGTAGTACAATGTGAAATCCTCATGAGGTTGTACACTGTTACCTTTTACTTCTGAGAACATTTCCATCAGAGTGCAAAGGAAAAGACAGTAATAATGCACGCTGATGATGAGCACATCAGTACACGTCTTTACATATGATGTGCACTAAATAACCCTTGAATCCGATAGATGACAGCGTCAATGGTAGAGCCACATCAGTCCTCATCGCTCGCAAAAAAAAAAAAAAAAAAAAAAAAATCAAAAGGAAATGCAATGTTGTTATTTCTGTTGCAAGGTCAAAACGCTTTTTTTGGTAAATGAAATCATCTAATAAACAGGTTTGAATTAAGGTACAGCAAAAATATACTTGCGCACCTTGCTACACCTACAGCAAACACACAACGAATACAGAGATTTGATTGTTTGGGTTTCAGAGAATGTTTAAACAGCTAGGGATCAAAGACTCCTAAATACATCATGATTTCATTCAAACTAGGTAATGATGAGCGACAAGGAGATGATCTATGGCTGCCATTGAAATCAAGCAACAAGTGGATGGTGCTCCCAAGGCCATGATGGAAGAAGCATCTCAAGAGATGTGTAGATGTTATTGACCTGCTCCACACGTGACGTTTGTTGATATACCCTATTCAAACAGTGAGTTACCCATTTTGGACTCTTTGAAAAACATCCATTCGTTTTCGACGTTGGAAAGAGTCCAAAAGAGAGAATACACATATTTTAACTTTTTTTTTTTTTATATATTTTTTTTTTCTTTTTCTAAATGCTTTTGCTTTTCTTCTCCTCAACATCTTGATATAAACACTTTATCATTCTCTGTATATATATAACTCGCCACTCCCATTTCCTCATCCTAATGAATAATCACAACCATAACAACACAAACAACTATGGCGGAATACCGGTTGCACCTCCTTATTATACAAATCGAGACACTGAAATGACAGAAACTCAACCAAAGTCTCGACATCAGCTCAAACACAATCCTGCTGGAAAGTTGGCGAAACAAAGATCATCGCCAGGAAAGAGAATTGTCTATTATCACAGTTTAGAACCCGACATCAACCACATTAAAAAGCCACTGAAGAGAATAGGTATGCAAAATCTGGCACTCAAGCAGGAAGTACGGCAAACTAATATAGCAGATCAAAAATAACGGCTAGATTTTACGCAGAAATTACCAGCCGAATTATGCACATTTATCGTATCACTACTCGATTTTGACACATTACTTGTGATTCCCAAAGTATCGCGGCTATGGGCCCGTTTATTCTACATTGATGAGATTTGGAAGCTAAGGATGACAGAAAACAACTGGAAACTAAAGATGCCGCCCAACATGTATCTGTCTGACGAGGAGCAGAGTTGGTACTACTGGTTCAAACAAAGATATCAATTGCAGCATCGATGGAATATCGGCAAAGTGGCTTCCCATTATTTACTGGGCCATCACGACAGCGTTTATTGCCTCCAATTTGACGATGAAAAGATTGTTACTGGCAGCAGAGATCGCACCATCAAGATATGGAATCTGAATCTGTATCAATGCACCGATACACTGGAAGGACATCAAGGCAGTGTGCTGTGCCTTCAATACAATGACCAAGTCATTATCTCTGGATCATCAGATCACACTGTGATTGTGTGGGATATGAGAACCAAGCGCATCCGTGGCCGTCTTCATGTAAATCCACCGTATATAGCTGTGCGTGTAAAATGCGTGTGCTAACTCTATTGATAGGGCCATTCTGCCGGTGTATCTGACATTTCATTTGATCATCGTTACATTGTGAGTTCATCAAAAGACGGTTCTATTCGTATTTGGAGTAGCAGCACGTTTCAGCCCATTCGTATGATAATAGGCCATCAGGGCCCCGTCAATGCAATTCAGTTAAAAGGAGACTATCTTGTTTCGGCTTCCAGTGATGCATTGATCAAACTATGGCAAGTGTCGACTGGCGAACTGATTCGAGAATTTGCAGGGCACAGGCATGGTCTAGCTTGTGTTCAATATGATGGCAAAACCATTGTGAGTGGTTCCAATGATCACACAATCCGCGTATGGGATGCTGAGGTAAAATTAGATGGATGATAGAAATACAGTGTGTTTTTGCTTACACCCTCTCTGTGACAAATATAGACTGGCCAATGTACTCGTGTATTTCAGGGTCATACTGGACTTGTGAGAAATCTTCGCTTTGATGGCAATAAGATCGTCAGTGCTAGTTACGATCAGAGCATCCGCGTATGGGATATAAAGTAAAGTCATACAAAGAACCCCATGATGATCGAATCTAGTTTTTGCTAATTTTAAATGTCTTGATTTAGTTCTGGAGCATGCTTACTCAACTTTCAAAGTGGCCATACAAGCTGGATTTTCGATGTGCATTTCGACAAGAAGCGGATTATTAGGTATGTCCATTGCCAATTCTTGTTGAGCGCGTCTATTCACATTTTTCATGTAGTTCGAGCCAGGATAGAAAGATACTCGTCATGGATTTTGCACATGAGTTGAATACAAGATGTCTTGATCTCTAGAAGAGTTGTATATTGCGCTTATTCCCCCCCCCCCTACCTCTATTTTTTTTTCCTCACTGTACAAATGTAAACACACTGTTTTATATATTTACTATTTATTAATACTATCACACTACTAATTTCTCAACCAAGAGGACCCTTTTACACACATTTACTATAAACATGCTTCTTTTTCGTTCAAATATACGCGCTTTTACTTGTCGGATAAACAAAAGAGCGCCTACTTGAGGACGCACAAAAAAGAGCCAAGTTTAGATGCCTTTGGTAACCAAGGAGATGGGACACTAGTAGATTCTTGAGCAACCAAAACCCTGTGTATGTGTATTCTTGGAATGTCTCTCTTATTAGCACACTTGCTTATTACATGGCCCACTTGCATGTAGACGGGCCGAACCGAAGTATACATGGCTAACTTCAGGGTCTAGATTTAAGGTTGCACTTGATCATCTCTCGTACTCTTCTGATGCACTCGAAAAGGCTAATACATAATCAACTAGGTGGTAAGATTCGATCACCCACCATTTGAAAGACGCATGTTCCAATGTTCTACAGAAAGACGGGGAGAAGATTATTGCTTTTTGTCTGTGCTTTTGTACAACACTGCGCATGTAACATCTAATGAAATACATAGTAGAAATGTACAATCAGTATCTCCCTCTTGCAAGGCTCGACATGGCACTATTACATAAAGAAAATCCATGTAGAACTGGAAAACACAGTGCTGAATCAAACCTATTTGTGCGCGTATATGTCGTATCAAACTCTAGCTCTTACTCCCCCCCCCTTTTTTTTTTTACGTTGCCTCCTTATTTGACTGACGCTACATGTGGTTTACACGCTTCCTCTTTTCCGTTTAACGTCCCTTGTTTTGCTTGATCCCGTAGCAGAAACCGTTTCAAAACGCAAGAGAGAGCAATATAACTCTATTCTTTATTTGTGAGATATTTACATTTTTAAGTTGTATGTGTAACTCAATGCACATACACACACATTTAATATTATGCTTCCCTAGGTTTATATAATATACAATATAGTTCCAATCGATGTGGCAGCACAAGGACGAAAAGACTGGTACCGATTGAATTACCGTAACCTTGTTCCACCTTTACATCGATGGCCAAGTTGCCCCATTTAAGCTCAAGTTGAAATCAAAATGAAACATAGCAGGCGTGCCCTCGATTCACCCTGCCTCTGTCTCTGGCTGATCTTATGGCGAGAGGTTGCTCAAAGTGTTTCACACTACAGCAGGGCCCCTCCAATGCTCACACAATTCGGTATTTTGACAGCCGTTCGGCTGCATTGCTTCAACTCTAAGGGGCAGGGGGTCAGTTCGACACTACAAAGGCGACGCTTGGGCAATTCTTTTATAAATGCTCCATCAGCACAACCAGAGCATAAATGGTGTGGCAGGTGATACCTACCTAGCACACTTTCATTGAGGACATAATGAGGATAACACGATTTGGATCTATTCTTTTTCTCGTGTCTCCTAAAATCAGCATGCTAGAGTCACACTAGCCGGGTTTAATAACCATTACTTTATCAATTAAACTTTTTTAATGGTTTTTTTGGGTCCTTAACATCTGCTGCCGTCTCTCTATTTGCTTCTCTTTTCTCTTTTCTCTTTTCTCATTCTTTTTACGCTTTTTGTCTTGTATTCATATACATAAGATCGTCAATTGTAAACATCCACATTGGATCTCTTCAACATCTCAACATTCCGCTTCTCCGCTCGATCCCCCTTATTTTAATACAATCAGCCAAATGTCTTCTTATACTACAGCAGCAAGACCTCCAGCAGACTCAAATTGTGATCTAGAAAATGCATACGCAATCGACAGCTTCTTTCCAGCATACACACAGCAATTGCAGCAGCAGCAGCAGCAGCAGCAGCAGCAGCAGCAATTACAACCTCCACCGTCATCACAGCAGCAACATCGTCAAGATCTATGCAGCAGCAATGACAAAATCAACATGACTCCATCAGAGTTTGATTGCTTTCCTCAAGCTGTAGCATCTCTTCCACTGGAAAGCCTCTCTCTAGACCAGCACTTGTCTAATGAATGGCCATTGGAGCTGGGAGGAGGAGGAGGAGGAGGAGGCGAAGGAGGAGGAGAAGAAGAGTACCAAGCAGATATCAATTGTGAGTATGCCATGTTGCAGCATTGCACTTTGTATTGATAGAGTATGCCGTAGTTCTCTTTACTTGCAATGAGCTGGGTGTCGCTGCGTCTGAATCGTCCTCTTCTTCATCTGCCATAGTTACAGCATCAGCAACAACAGTAGGCCACTTTCAACAACAACCATCTATCAAAGGAGCCGAGCAATTCCGTCGTTTTTCCTTGGAAGAGACAGATACATTGGGTAATCTGATGCCATTCTATCCACAGACTTCTATTTACAGCCCCAAACACCACAAGGAGAGATCGTCTATGCCAAATGTATTTGAGCACTTTGCTGCTGCTAATACCACTGTCATTCCTCAACAGGACCTGCTGCCGTGGCAACAGAGCACATTATTGCAGAAAAGACCAGATTATCGGCCTCAGCTTGTCATTTCATCCATCTCTTCGCCACTCAAAAAACATGCCAAGAAGAGGTCTCTGGTTGATCAAGTCATGAATGAAGAATACATGCCCTCTGTCGTTTCCAGCTTGAGTGAGCCTATTCCATCTTCGCATCAGTGGATGATTAGAAAACGAAGCAAGTCTATTCGCCATACCAATGCGAACAAGACGGATGATCACTCTGCTATTACTACTACTGCTGGTGTTGCTGCGTCTAATCCTACCCCTAGTCCAACCACTCCAACAGCCACAACGGTAGCAACAGGCATACTGAATATACCTGAATACATTGTGCCATCGTCAACGCCCATGAACAATGAGATGATGCAACAGCATCCTCATCATCAGCGCCAAGATTACATGATTCCATTAGATCCAATGCTGCATTACGAGGACCTCCATATGCCAACGTCTGGCTCATCTGCAAACAACAGTAACAGCCAGTTGCTAGCAGCAATGCCACGTCGGCAGAAGCTGCGATATGATGGCGATAGTTATACTCCCAAATGGGTCCGATTTACTGGTCATCTGAAAGAAGGCTACTGCGATAGTTGTCAGCCTGGTAAATGGCTACAACTTAAAAATAGTGCCTATTGGTAAGCTTCAAGGGTAAATCATTAGCAATGAGCAACTAACCAACAACATCACAGGTACCACAAGCAATTTTACCATGGCATCTCTTCTGTATCGGGTAAATCATTCATGAAACCGTTGGAACAACGCATGGGAAAGGGAGACATGATTGAGGGTCTCTGCCACCAATGCCACCGTTTCGTATCTGCCTGCAATGGAAAAAAAAAGAACAACTATATGCTCTGGTACCGCCATGCTCATAAATGCCATTTGTACGATAAACCCAAGGCCACCTCCAAAAGTGTCCGAAAGCTATCCAACAACTCGACAACGCCGGCTATATCCACTGATGCAGCCACTGTAGCTCCGTCCTCGCCGACTTCACCCAGTTGCTCAACATCCCATCCTTCTCATCATCATTATCAAGTGAACTCACAAAGATGATTTGTATATATATATATATATGATACTATATAAGCTGTATTTACCCCTCTATTTTTCTCTTTTTCTTTACTCTTAATACAAACGACATTGCAAAGTCTAAATCATGAAATCCATCTGCAAACATGACGACATTATGCATGTAGGCTTTCAAAGTCTTTTTTTTTTTTTTTTTTAATGGAGACAATGTGGTCTGTAAAATGATCTGATTTTTATTTATAGTACCGTTTGCTACCCAAACTTTTGTGCCAAAGAAGTTCCATCTAATTCCACATGAAAATCAATGTATTACAGCATGAGTTTTTAGTTGCTGGTTCTCTTTCTATACAGGTTACGTCTATTTGCTCTTTGTAATCTGGGTCTTGCTTCATCCCAAGGCCCATGGATTTCACTGGCAAGAGGCTGTTAGAGGACATGGCGCATCGTTTTCCTTGAGGACTACTTACTTTTTGTACTTTTGGATGAATATAAGCCAGTATGGACATACAAAAGTTAAAAAACAGAACCCCAAAATGTACAAAAATACCACTGCTTTTGAGATTTGAATAAACAACGCTACACAAGTAAGCAACATTGCTACTGTGACACCAATCTGTATCAGAGGATTTAAGTCTTTAAGATGTCGTCTAAAAATAGGAAACAGTGAAAACCATTCAACGGCAAATGACAGTAGACCAAAGACATCTACGTTGGTATCCAATCGAGATGCCAGTAATACAGACGCAAAGATGGCTGCATTGGTGGATAAAGACCCTGGAATCCTGTCCTCGATATCAGTATGGTGTGCATTGCACAAACAAGAAGCTTACTTTATGCTCTTGGCCTGTGTCTTGTAGTCGTGAAACAGCACATTGGCGAGGAAACAGCATACTGTCAATGCCCAGATGGTGTCATCGCTGGTTTGGCTGGTGAGTGTCTTTAGAATAGGTGACAATCCTAACAGTGTGATGTAAAAGAAGAATGCGCTCTTGGCAACGCGTTGTCCTATGTCTGGCGTTGAGTGTATTGATCCAACAGTGTATGGACGAGAAACTAACGTTTGAATTCATGATTGCTTCGTATAATCAGATCCCAGGATATATAGCCAATGCCTGTCAACAAGGAGCCTGTCCATATCAGATGGTTTCCAGACAGTGAATGCACTTGGAGATAGATGAAGATGGCAATGAATATCACAACACTGCTGACCTGCTGTGTGATCACCCCAGATTCATACACCATGGTCCAGTAGTTGTAGGAGCGTACATTGACTGCCATATCACAATGAGCAAGCATGTTCATCACACAAAGGAGACTTTGACCAAACTCACCGTTGCGCTGAAGTTCCTCTAGAAATGTGCCATCTACATAGTTATCTGGATAGTTTTGTTTAACCCACAGTAATTTCTGCCATGGTGGATTATTGGTATATTCGGAGCTCTGGAAAGAGCTACGTGCTGATCCATACATGACTCTTTTCTGGCTGGAGAGGAGGGAAAGTATGGAATGGCTAGAGAAGGCGCTTTTGTCGTCAAAGAAGAAAACTGACTTTGAATGCAGCCACAACAAGCAACGAGCAGGCGTCAATCTGTCACTGCTCGGCAACTGCCAGCTTGGATCGAGTATTGCACTGGCCGAGAGCCCCATATTACTGAGCAATGCCGTCTCTATGCTTGCTCCTTGCCACTTTTACTCAAAAATTATTAAAACCATCTTGGATGTGGTATGATAAACAGTCGCTAACGGCATGTCAAATGAATCAAGAGCACTTTGTCGATCGCTTAGATGTCATAGTGCCACTTGATCCGTCCATAATGTCAATCTGATGGTAAAGTCGCCACGTTTATTATAGTACAAGAATAGGAATTCTACCATGAGTTTCATACTACCAGTGCATTCCTTGGTATATCGCCAGCAACTTTTTATAAGCTCGTATTCCTGCTCACTCTTCCTACGGATCCCATCGCTAGTTGACCAAACATTTCATGCATTTCAGCTGCGTCATCACAATGCTGCAATAGCAAGGTCTGCTCTTCTTCTTTTCCAGTCGATAGTATACGCAGCAGCTCTTGGACGTCTCCTTTACAATACTCTGCTGCCCATGCAATGTGAACACCAACAACGTTTGCTGAATACAAGCACTTTGCCAAGCTTAAAAACTGTTCCAATTCCAGGTCATCAAACGCTTTAAAAAGTACAGTTTGTGAGGCATAGACGTTTTTTGAGAGCTCAGACATGATGGTGGGTACTACATGGTCATGCTCTTTCTGTTGCGGTTGCTGCTGCTGCGTTGTTGCAAGGTCCAGTAGCGATTGAAATCGAGCGGAATCGCTCAAGGCTTCTTTTTTGGATAGCTTGATAGTAGAACAACCTGTTCCTGTAAAACAGCCTCCACATGAATGACAGCTCATGAGAAATGCGACAAAGAGAAAAAGAGGATGAAATGCAAAAAAAAAAAAAAATGTTTATTTCCCATAAACGCAGGGCTTTATAAGCCACCTTGAAGCTGGTTATGCTCGCATTCGAATGGGAGGATCGTCATCTACTTCACTATCGTATGGTGTCACATCCATGTCGTATTCAATAGTGTCTCTTTCTCCAATCTCTGCATTGGCTTCCACAAAACTGGGCAGCTGCTTAGGCAGTGACTCTTGAAATTTAGCTGGTGCTTCGTCATGTCTGATGTAATAGACATCGCTACTGTCATGCCTTTGCTGCTCTTGCTCTATCTCGTCATTATCCACAATGTCCACGTTGCTCTCCTGTCCCAAGGGCGTATTGATGACTCGATCAGCAAGACTACACAGCACAGTGCAATCCTCGTCTGATAGGGTCATGCCTCTGTGATGGCGAAATGCATGGCTGGTAGGCAGTACTTGTTCCAAACGACGCTTGACCTCGGCTGTATCCAATGTTGTGGGCGATCCTACCACGGCTAATATAGATTCGGCAAAGCGTATCACATCATTGTCCACTGCGGAAGCGTTTCCCAAGAAATCCGCACAGGCAGAGACCAGTTCATCATATGCAAACTTGGCTTGCGTGCTCTGCAAGATACCGTCGAATTCAATGTGAGCAGTGGACACACGTCTTTTGCCATTCGTTGCTGGCTCGTCATCCCGGTCGTCAGGCATTGGAGTGTCAAGCCTACATCAGGTTGATATAAAAAAAAAAGGAGCCCTGGCTCAAGTAAAGCAACTTACACTTCTGTATCGTAATAATCTTGGGGTTTCTCTCCTGGTGCTATAATATATGACATTTTATAAAAGAGAGAAAAAGTGTGTGTAAATGATGCTTGCATGAAACATGTTGCATTTACAGTTCTTGCACTTTAAATTCAGACAATGTTAATTTCTTTCTGGACGAATCAAAATTAATTTTTGGACAGTGTGTTTACCTTTTTTAGACAAATAGGAGAATGAAGTTCAGACAGAAAAGAGTCAGTTTTGAGACTAATGAAGATGATCTTTCAGACTTTTTTTTTTTTTACCTGTAATAATCTAAATCCCAAAGAGGGAAACCGTGTTTATTACAGCGATGGGAGAATATAGCGTTTATCGATTGTTTCTTCTGAAGATTTCGGGTATTGCATTGCTGATCCAGACAGAAAGAGAAATGGACAGCACGTTTTTTGCAGCGTTTACATCTCTTTGCCAAAGTGTATTACATGTTGTACAGACAAGTACACTTTGACCTTTGACATTTGAATGGCCTGTCAGTGCCCTACTTTTGCATATATTGCAGATTTGGGAGGTCAGAAATTCATCAATGGGTATAACTAGAAGATCACCAGCAGCTTCTCGTCTCTTGAGACATCTCTACATGACCCCAGCAACACCACAGCGTAAGCCCTTTCAGTTTTACCAGATCCTTTCCGAACATTCCGTTCCCAAATACAACAAGTGGAACTTTGGGTTTGTCTTCTTGATATTTAAAGGTCTTCACTTATTTCGCCTAGTAAATTGCATAAAATGAGTAGGTTTATACGAACACATGAAACTGAATTAATGAACTTACTTTCTGTACTGTTGTTGCTTATTCTTTCCTTTCTTATTTTTTTTGTTCTTGTGCAACCGCTTCGTTTTCTTGTTATGTCGGTATTGTTTTTTGTTCTTCTTTTTTAAAACGCTTCTTATTGTATTTAGCACCACCGTTTAACAACATGTTAACCATCATGTCAGGAGCTCTTTGCTTTCCTTGGTATAAGTTAAACCAATGTTTAGCAGTACTGAAGCCATAAAAGGCGAACAGCGTGTCCATGTTTGCAAGTATGTAATCTACATACCGTAAAAATTGGGTATTTCTGGCAGTTTTCGCTGAAGGTATAGCAGACTCAATTGCGGTGATTCCGGCAGTGTCCTTTTCTTGTTGCAACTTCTTTGCATACACTGTGGAGCCTGTCAAATGGTAGTACTCTTTTGTTGTGCACCGTCTCACTTGATGTACATCAGGATCTAGTCCAATAGCTGCAGTAAACACTGTCTTTCCGCCAGGGTCAAGGAAACTTGGTCTATACATTTGGGTGACCTCTTCTATGGTAAAGTCCTTTATACCCAAATCGTGATTTACTGTTGATATCTCGTCCGTTGTACCAGAAGTTCTTTTATAAAAGAGAAAGTCAACACAGAAGCCATCAAACCTGACGATATTGCCAAACAGTACATCATTCTCTCCATTACTATATTGTTCTGGTAGCCAGTAGCTATCTCAGTGCACACTTCGGCTATACATTGGGAGGCTCCTCCTTCAATCTTTTTTTTTTCATAAACAATAGTCCTATGAGTAGATTTAAATCTATTCCAGACTAGTAGTATATCTGATGGTATGTTTGTACTGCTTGTAACTCTTTTTGCATTCACCATTTGACAGACGGAATACCAAAATTGTTGGGTAAAGATACAGTGAGGGATATCATTGTTTTGCTGTTGTTGGGAGCGAAATGTAATGTAATAGTTTACAAGGAGCTTGGCACGGAATACTATCTCCCGTATATCTCTGTTAACAGAAATGATTGCTGGCTCAGGCGGTTTATCTATTGTTGATGGACACAGTTGTCGAGAGGCAGCTTTCCGTTGAAAGCTTGATATCCTTGGCCAAGATTTTCTTTGAGTGTGGCTTGCTTGGAGGCGATATGAGCTTCACATTTTGGTGATCTTGCTGATTTATGGCCAGTCTTGTGACATTTCTTGCATATATCTTGGCTGCCTTCATTGCTAGAAGAAGCTCTAAGCTTCTTTGCATGTCTTTTATCGATTCTCACACTGTCACTCTGTTTGTGTTTTTTGCTGAACGTCCCAACTTTGATATAATAACATCAGAAACAAACAGGGTATAAGGGTATAGTACTCTTTCAAAACATGTATACTTGCCATCATCGGCATTGATTTGTTTATAAAGTTTGCATTTGAAAAATGATCAGTTTCTTTGCAGTCTTTGCATACACTTGTACTATTAGCAGAGCCAACTCCTTCTTGAAAACTGTTTAACAGAAACGTTATGCAATATTTTCTGCAATATTTATGCCTTCTTCTAAGCACCTTTGCTCTTTCACAGACCGAATCTTATTCAAAATTGTTGCTTCGTACATAAAGAGATTTTACATAAACTTAGAAACTTTGATAACAGAATATTGCGATAGAAAGAGAAGGGAAAGAGAAAGGAAGAAAAATATCAATTAGTTTATCACGCATAATACGTATAAGTTTAATTCTGACACAACAGATCAATAAATCAATACCAACAGTTAAAAGAAAGTAACTTTCTACAATTGATAATGGCCAGATCTTCAGCATGTATGACAGCAAAGAGCCGTTCCTTCTTGTCTCAAGGAAAAGAAAGGACACCTACACTGATGGTGGTACTAAGAAAAAATACAGTAGAAATCAAGAAGCAAGCAGAAACAGAAAGCCAGGAACAAAAGGAGAGAAGAAAATACCAAGATGTTTGCTTTTGTAAACCAGTAGACCGGGTATCATTTACTGCAAAAGTATATATAAGCATATTAATGTATTTGATAGAGAGAGAGAGAGAGAGAGAAACTATACGAAATGCAAGCCAAAGGCATCTTTGGTATTATTTCGAGCCGATATGTTTGGCAAAGATTCGATCCGCTTGAAGGGATAGAAATGTGGAGTCGCCGAGATCTTTTACAAAGCTTTGAAGAGGAGAGAAAGGAACGGCGGTTTGACAGTTGTTTCTATCGATGATCATCTTGCTCCAAAAATATGCCTTAAATGTATGAGCATCACTCAAGGTGTATCAAGCAGCATCATGATTGTATTGATCCTGTTTGTAAGGCAAGAGGTGAAGGGCGCTCAAAGAAAGAGGTAGCTAAACCAAACAAAAAATCGGCGTAATAAGCACGGTTTTCCTTTTTGGGATTTAGATAATTACAGGCTGAAAAAGTCTGAACGTTCACTTCCTCTTTGTCTAAAAAAGGTAAACATATTGTCCAAAAATTAATTTCGATTCGTCCCAGAAAGAAACTAACATTGTCTGAATTGAAGGTGGAAATACTTTATTAACGGCTATTTTACAACTCCTATGTGATGAATCTATGTACACTGCTATGCTCATTTTTGCTACTTATGCCCTCGTGTTCATGGCCTGACGATTCTTTATGAGCGTCGCCTTGTTCATGTCCAAGCGGAAGCCGGTTGGGTCACCAAACATATTGACTGGTACTGGCTGTTGGTTCTTTGGTTTATGATTGCGGTAGTTGATTGGATTTGCCACTCCCCGACTATGTTTTGCTAGTTGTTGTGCCATGGGTAAGTTATGAGTTTGCTGTGCTAATGGCACTTGTACCATGCCGTGCTGTGGCTGCGGTTGTGGATGCTGCACTGACTTGGCAGGCTGCTGCTGCTTTTGTTTGCGTGCATCGTTCAGTGATTGCTCTTCTTCCATGCGCTGAACTGCGTACGTGATATCAAAAATGCCTCGAAGAGTGGCTGCATCTGGTGTCGTATGGATCAAGCTATTGTCATCGTCCATGACAAGATCCTCGTCCTCTTCAATCTCGGGTGGCGTCAAAATATTGGATTTAGCTGCTTGCTGAATCATGGCTTCAATTTCCTGGTGTTCTTTCTGTTCTTGCTTATGCTGCTCATAACGATTTGTGGCAGCAATGGCCTGCAACGGTTGGTTTTTCTTTGCAGGCATCACTGGCACGTAGTCATTACGGATAAATGGCTCTTCTTTGATCCAGGGATGATTGAGGAATTGATCAATGGTATATCTCTTTCTGACATCTACGCACAGCAAATGGGAGATCAAGTCTTTGACTGAATCAGATATGGTATCCCACCAAGGGCTTAAATACGTATATTGGCCACGAGCTACTTTCTCTGTCAGTGTAGGAATTGACTCGTCATAAAAGGGAGGGAAACCACATAGAATAGTATAGAGAACACAGCCAATAGCCCACATGTCTACTGATTTGGAGTACCTGTGAGAAAGAGTAAATGACTCGAGCCATTGGTATTGCATGCAAATGAAGCACTCGCTTACCTTTGATCAGTGACGATTTCTGGTGCAGTGTAGCCAACGGTACCACATGGAGTCAATGTAGAGTTATTCCAAATGACCTTGGATAGCCCAAAGTCAGCCAATTTGATGTTGCCAATGCCACCACCGCCAACGCCAGGCATAAACTCGCCCTCATCCTCTTTATCAGCGCTATCGGTTGGACGATAAACACGCTTCTTGGAGGGGATGATGGGGATTGGGTCAAACAAGATATTTTCAGGCTTGATGTCACGATGAACTACGCCGCATTCTTCATGCAAATGACGAACGGCCAAAGCAACTTGCGTAATGACATGCCTTGACAAATTCTCACTGAAATAGGTCAGCTTGACGATTTGATGGAACAGCTCGCCGCCCTGACATAGATCCAATGTCAAAAAGTAGTTGTCGTAAGTTTCCATGTAATGGATCAGCTGTACAATGTTTGGGTGTCTGACATTACGCATGATTTCAACCTCTTTCATGATGTTGGCTCGCTAAATCAAAGGGAATTTCCAAAAAGATTAATTTTTTTTTCCAGTCTACATAAGCATGATATCATAGCCTATTACTCACCTCTGTCACTCGAGGTTTTTTAATTATACTAGAATGCAAATGGCGCTGGCCAGTGTTCTTGTTGTTTCGATTAGCACTAGGTAAATTATGGAAAAATTTGGAATGGCTTACCTTGTCATTGGGATGGGACTTTTGAGCTACCTTGATAGCTACTTTTTTGCCGGTTTTCAAATCACGAGCCTCAAAGACATTGGAGAAGGCACCACTATTTAAATGAGTCAGTATCGTGCGCAGCATACAAGATTGTAGCTGTACATACTCCCCAAGTTTCTTGATCATTTCAAATCGTTCCAGTCCAGGGTAATGAGGCAATTGACTCCTTCTTTTGTTGTCAGCTTCAACCAATAAATTGGCCAACTCATCAGCGGCATTGATTTTTTCGGCTGGTTGAGCAACGATCGTATCTGTGGACATTTGCTTTGTGCGTTTTCTCTGGCTGATTTGATCTTGCTGTTGTTCTGGAATGACCATTGGTTGTTCAATGAGAACAGCATTGTTATGAGTGTCCATGGCTTTCGTCGGTTGTCTGCTGATGAAATGTGTGTTATTAAAAATTCTTCTCTGTTGTCTTTCTTTTCTTTGACGAAATAGATCTTTGATGTGTGATAGCATCTCTTTTTTTAATGGATATAAATTTACCTTGAAAAAGTAAAAAAAAAAAATAATAATATAGAAATAAGAGATCCAAAGGTGAAGAAACAAAAAAAAAAAAAAAAGGTATACAAGTGCTTTCATAGCGATTTTATACAAACAAGACAAAAAAATTGGGCTAGTTTCTTGGTTATATAGCCATGACGACAGGTGAGGTTTGATTTGATTTGATTAGTTCAAAGAGCTTAAATTGTTTTTGCAAGCTACTTCTCTATCTCATCCCTCTCGTGATAGTGCAATTCATGCGCTCATGCATCTATCATGATTGAATCAAGGAGAACATGGCTACATCATTTGCTCTACCGAAAAATTAAGCTTCTGGTAAACAAAGAGCTAGCTCCTAGATTGTATCAAAAAGTGTCAGAAGCATCTGTTAGATGTGTACTGCAAAGATCTATACTGTGTTTATGTTTAATGTCCACAAAATCAAACAATCCAGTAACGTAAATACATGTATAACCTGAGCGTTATATCCGTGGTTCCTTCCGAAATGCTATTTACAAGTGTTATGCCTGATGCTATAGAGCCCCTCCTCATTATTACGAGATGAATCATCCACTCGCATCACTCATGATAGTTGTTCTTTCATACAAAATTAAGGTTTTTGAGCCATGATGCACTAAAATAATGTTACCAAATTTACACAATCACGGCTGTAAATATTATGGTGCTCAAGATGCATGCATTATGACTTGAAGCATACACCTTTTTTTTCAATGAGTTGCTCACTGCTGCACATGCTGGAGGTGCTGGCGGTGTCCAAGTACCATGGCGTTGAGAAAAAAGGAGCACTATTCATTGTTGAGAGCAGAGTATATTAAATTGGTTTAGCATGCGCCAATTGTTTCTAACCAATTTGCCTCATAAAGACTCTGCATCGAACAATGCTTCTCTCAGATCCATCCAATTGATATGAATTTTTGCATCAGGGTCAGGAAAGACGTGTACTTGTACGTTAATCTGCAGATAATATTAGTGTTCGGATAATGATCTGCCTGATGCTACAAGAACAATGCTAACAAAAGAGCAGCTATGCAAGCCAATTGTCTATGTTTGTACATTGTACTTTTATATGGACATTCTTGCATACTAGATCTATAGAATAAGCATTTTATAGTTTTTCTTTGGATGGTACATTATCCTTTTAAAGATTAACTGTATCACCTAACAAGCTTTGGAATTATTGATCGCAGCTTTGCTTTGTAAAATTGATCTTCAAATAAGACTATTCCAAACTGAGAAACAAAAGTTTGTTTGACTATATACTACGTAGATATTTTGTCAATTTATGACTATTGAACGAGCTACGTGCGGCATGTATGATGATATTGTTAGATTATTTACATTGGAATTTGAATTTATTCATGCTAATCGCAGAAGATCTATAATACAGTTGGATCTCTTAGTAATTCTGTCATGCAGAACTGAATGTTGATAAGTGAAGAATGCGTTAGCATTAGTAAGCCCATTCATCCATCTTTCAATGATTACTAGCGACAGTAGAGAAAGTGAGCATCAGCTCTATATCTCTGGTGCAATTGCATTAGAAGCTTTACTGATGACTACTAGGGCTAGCACTAGATGTAATGTACATAAAAAGCAAAATAGATTGTTGAGGCAGGTCATAGTGCTTTTAATTTACAATTCTCTTCTCATTAGCTACAGATACATCGGTTGTTTTTATGTGAAAAGCAACTTGCCAGCCAAAACTAATTAAAATTCAGATAGTAAAATTCTGGAATGCCTTGAATCTTGCGAGCATAATGTCTGACATCTGCCAACCATCATCATCTCTAATATATTTACCAGAAAACTATATAAGAAAACGTTGGAATGGCCAATCAGAGATCAGAGATGTAAAAAATTTAAAGTACTGAGTACCGTACAAGGCTCGAAAAAACCACCGGCGAAGCTGGCACTGGGGAGGGAGACTTGGCATCTAATTCAACATTGGGTAATGTTGATCTATAAGGGGGGGTTTACCTCAGCGAAGCGAAGGTGCTAAACCGTAGTATTCAAGCAGCAAATTCGGGTTTTCATTTCCATTATTAATAGGCTTATCAACAACATAACGCATCAAAATTTGCATGAATTAGCTTTACCAAAATCAATATACCTTTTATTCAACTAGAATTGCACAGGCCGCAGAAATGCCCTTCCTCCAGAAGATTTCAGCTACCAAGGACGTGATACATGCCATGTAAATAAAAGCTATAAAGCAAAACATAACCAAATTTGACAGCTTTCAAGCCTTCATATCTTGACATGTAGATCTTTTTGAGCCGCCGGAATGACGCCAAACATTTGTACTTGAGTAGTAGTAACTTCCTGATACCTTTGCTCAACTTTTTCGATCAAAAAAAAAATATGGCCAAAAATCGACCAAAAAGCATGAGGGATACCTCATGGTTTTCATCAAAAATCAAACGATCGCATTTTTCACCTTGAAAATGAACACTTTTACTATGGTATAAATCAAATCAAAATGTTTCTCTCGATCCAGAGCAACCTCTGAAACCACTTTTATGAGGTCTTTATATACAAAATTTTGACATTTTGGCCTAAAATATTATTTCAAATTTTATTGAATTGCTCAATAATTTCATTCAAAACATTTATTACAGTTAGCACCTTTGGAAGCGTCTTGAAAAGTACTTCAAGAATGTATTAGGAAGCGTAGGTTGATCATCACAGTTTATATAGTCGAATCTCATAAAATAAATTAAAGAAGTCGAAAAATTACGAAATCTGTCCAATTTTGAACAGAAAAAAATAAACTGAGTTTGAATTGATTTTGGCGGCGGCATTGCTGCTGGCTGACCTAAATGCCTTTTTGTTGATAGCAATGATAATTGCGATGCTGATTAAATGGGGACAATGAAGTTGAGTGGACAATTGCTTGGCCTGAAGACTTTTCTGGGGAGTTTTGCCTCATAAAGATGTCTTTTGCAATGACAATATCTCAAAAAAAGCGCTGCAGATCTTACACAAGTCCTGTATTTGCGCATAACCAGCTGTGTGCGCCATCTTAAGAGCATCAGCAGCAGCAAATGGTATAACAATTCTACTATCAGAATATGGAGATTGCGGTTTATAAATGACGCATAAAACTTGAGTACGTCAAGAATCATTTCGATGCTATTGTGGTATCTTTACAGCCTCAGGCCACTACGTCTACATCCACTGGTGAAAGTGCATCCATCCCAGCTACACCGGTTATTGCTCCTTCTGACTCTGTAGCGTTCCTTCGCCGCGACCTCTCTGGCAAGAACATGGCATCCGACATGTTTTCTGTGTCTGGCGCCCCTTCATATGCAGTAATGTCTCCAATCTCACATAATCCCTCTGATATATCCATGGTTGAAGCTCCCCCAGACAATGTAGAATACCGCACTTGTACCGTGTCTTTCAAGAGCCTTTTACGAAAGGGTGTGCCTTCCGACCTCGTCGAGTCATTTTTGCCGAAGCTAAATACTGCATTGCATGATGTATCTGACTATGTTATGGACTTGCAATTGGTGGTATATACATTGATGCTCTCAATGAAGTACTTGCAGCTCGTAGCTTGTAGTGGTGATATTCAGCTGAAGAAAGCTCATGGTTTCCAAATACAAGATATCCTCCCAGCAGGCTACAATATGAAAACTGATGTCACTACCTCTGCTCCTCCATTATCCTCTAATGCCTTGAAGTTTACGGCTTTTTGCAGCGGTGTCAAGGGTCTTTTCCAGAGCAGACACATTGATTACCTGCATATTGCTTTGTTTGGCCAAAGAGGTACCAAGATCTCGCACACTGCATTTGCTGCTCTGTCGTCCGCCAATTCGCCAATACTCGATGCTATCGTAAGGGATACGCCTCAACCTGCTAATGAACTCATGATGGTGGCTCGAGGATTGTACAAAACAAATCTCGAAAACATGTGGACAAGTAATAAGGTATTTAACAAATCACTGACCAAGCTACTGGAGATTTTTTTTCGCGTGCATCTCGCTCCAAGACGAGAGCCGCATTACTAGAAGCTTCAACAGACCAAAGCAAAGAAGCAACCCAAGCAAGTTGTCAAGTCGATCAGAAACTCATTTCACAACGCCATCCGATCAGAGAAGTACAAACTTCAAAAATAGCAAAGAAAGGCACAGGGCAAACCAGAAGACAACAACTGGGCGAAGCTGGCCAGAAATAGTCAAGAGCGCATAACTCACATGTACGCTGATGCCAAGCGTCCTGTCAAGGCTGTTTCTACTTCTGGTACTACATCTGATCAAGCTGCTGTATCTGCTTCTGGCTCAGGTTCTTTTACTACAGCTGTATCTACTCCTACTGATCCTTCTAGCACTTCTGATGCTGTTGCTGCCTCCAATGCTAGTTTTGGTATTGATAGTGCTGGTATGCCTATTGACAAACTGCTCCCTCTTTCTGAACTGATAGACGAGGAAGACGACCAAGAAGAAGAGGAAGGCACCCGTGATCTGCCTAGAAGACGAATTATGATTCTCAAAGCTATCCTGATAAATCTCTTGGTGAGGCAAGCTGGAAAGTCTATTACCCATACACAGCTCAAGAAGGAACGTCCCGATATCGCGGAAGAAGAGAATCGCGTGTGCATGCTTCTGGGAAACTTATTGCTGCCTTATTTACCCACTAGAGATCATTATAGCTACATTGGCTTTCCAGTTGCCATTCTTATTGTTGGCCAATGGTATCTTTTGCTCTGTTGGCTACCACAAGTTTGCCGTGGATCTGTGTCCAATTTCTTCCTGTGGCTCATTACATGCAATGCGTGTGGACGCGGCCTCTCTGTATGCCTTATGTACCAGAGGTGATGATCAAATGGATATCTTTGACTTTCAAGGATTTGTCATAGAAAACGTTGGGATAGCAAGACAATACAAGGATGCCGTGTTTAATTCTTTTTTCGACATTCGTGCCATTACGCAAGCCTGCAAGTCCTTTGGTCTGACATTTGCTCACAACCTCACCATTCTGCCTGGTCTTACTTCTGTCCGTATTTTGGGTACCAAACCAAGTTCTAACAAGTCAGTTTCCAATGCGAAGAAACCTCTAGATATTGATTGGGATACCGTGAGAGAGCTTCAAACCAGAACTAATCAAGCATTGAAGAAGGACATTGACCAACTGGAAACCGATATCAAGACTGTGTCTGATGAGCTGAAGGCTGCAAACAAGGACCACAAGAAGGAGCAGTATTCTACAAGGATCACGGACTTGAAGAAGCAATGGCATACTGATCGTAGCAAACACCAAGAAATCAAAGAGCTGAAGGCTCAAAGATACCAGTTGTTCATTGCCATCAAACAGGTCAAGCAACAACTGTCCAACATGAGAACTCGTGCCTTTTTGACAAGGAAAGCCATTGAATATAGAAACAAAGACACCCTTCTTGTATCAAATAACGAGCCTCCTCCTTCTGACCAACATCTCGATTCAATGGTGTTTTCGGGTACTGATAACGGGCTGGCTGTAATGACAGAAACTATTGGCATGAATCTGAACAAATACAAATATCACTTGTCACTGCATAATAGATTCTCTCCTCTAACCCATCTCGATGCTGATGAAAACAATTTGTCTGATAGAACTGGTATTGCGGCTGGTAACGATGGCAATGGCGTTGATCAAGTTATTACAAACGACGCTAGTGACAAGGATGAAATTCGTGATGGCACTGTTAAATGCGATGGAGATCTCAATGGCGATATGTCTATTGGTAATGATTTTAGTGGCGATGTTTATAGTGGCGATATTTCTGATGTTCCTGATGCTGATGATGGCGACGCCAGTGCTACTGCTAATGATCGTGGTCAGACAACAACATTTGAACCTCTGCCAGAGTCATACAAGATGCGTGCTGAAGATGTCGACTTTGGTTCTGGCCAATTTATGAGGCGAAAGATCACTTTGAAAGACAGGAAAGCAACAGAAGAAGGAAAGAAGGTTCAAGAGATTGAGCAGCAATTGCCGAGATCCAGTGTGTTCAGAGCCAAAGAGGTAGAGGATGTCATGTCAAATCTTGATGCACACAGAAGCAATGGCCAAGCATTGCGAGCGTTCTACCACTCAAAGAAGCAGAATACTCTTTCTAACAAGGTTGAGCACATTGACAGGCGTTTCCGTTCTCGTTTCGCTTCGCGTGAAAGATCCTTTTGTGCTGGTGTTCGTCCCCAAACGTCACTTACTATGTTCATTGGAGATCGTGGTCTTTGTGTCGGCTCTCGTTTGAAGGGTCATTTGAAGTATGGTGGAAAATGGAAGCCTCGCTTACATTCATCTGTCGCCACTGTGCATACTACCAACGAACACAAGACATCCCAGACGTGCATGTACTGCTTTGGTCCCATCTCTCATCCCACACAAACCACCAAAGCAAAAGATGGTAAGACCAAGACAAGGTCCATTCATGATGCATTCCTGTGCTTAAATCCTGCCTGCGTGTCCGTTCTCAATCACAGAGCCATTCAAGGTAGAGACAAGACATCTGCTTTAGCCATCGCTGTCTCTGGGCTTTCCACTCTCTTATTCAGGCAGCTATTGCCTGTATTCAATCCAAAACCCAGTCAATCCAACACTGGCATTATTTACAAGACCACCTCTTTTTGCAACAGAAACGAGAAACGGGACGGCAGCGGTGCTGCATTAGTGGACGCTTGAGTTCTCAAGGTAATAATGTGCTCAATCTGGCTTATTCAAGAGACTGCTTTACTAATTTGTCATTTATTATACTCGCAAGATTCAAGTTTTTGGAAATTCTGCTTCAGATTGGACAGATGTTGACCAATTTCGACTTGATTGAACTATTATGCATTGTTCGACTATACAAACTGTGAAAACTATTCCATGCTTTCTAATAGAGGTTAGAAGTACTTTTCAAGGCGCTTACAATGATACTAAGTAAAATAGATGATTTGAATAAACTTATCAAATAATTTATGAAAATATGAAAAGAGGTTTCTGGCCAAAATGTCGAAATTTTACATATCAAAGTCCCACAAAGATGATTTCAGAGGTTGCTTTGGATCGATAGAAACATTTTGATTCAAGATATACCATAGCAAAAGTCTCCATTTTCAAGGTGAAAAACGCGATCGTTTGATTTTCGATGAAAACCATGAGGGGCACCTCATGGTTTTTGGTCGAATTTTGTTCATGTTTTTTTGATCCCCAAAAAGTTGAGCAAGGGTGTCAGAAAGTAACTACCAGATGAGAGCAAATGTTTGGTGCTACTCTGACAATTGAAAATGGCCTTGAATGAAAGAAAACGCAGTTCAAATGCGCTCAGATTTTGCTGTATTATGGACACTAAGGACTAACAAGTGGAACTACCAGTATGCTACTTACTCGTATAGGAAGTAGCTACGTGTATATGGACGTAGAGCATCACACAAGAACCAGATCCACAGATAATATGAAGGGCTTCATGTGTAAGTGGAAGGTCAAAATGAAAGTAGTAGTGTTTTGATAACACGCGCAAGGACAATCGGTAGCGCGAGCTGCTGCTGCGCAGGTTGGTTCTCACCGAAGCGTAGTCAAGGTAGAGAGCCATCCAAAGCATAAACACTCGTAATTGATAATATTTACATTCCTCTCTATAACAGCAAGGAAAAGCCAAGTAGAGCATCTCAAGCCTCACTAAGCCGAAAAAGAAAATTGTCATCTAAAGAGTGTTTGGATTGCTGCATAATACCTGGTCGCAAGGTGGATGTGCTGTATGCGTCGGGCTCTCATGAACTTGGCTGCGCTGAATTTGGCACACATTATGATGAAACCAAAGAGTTGGTAGATGGAAGTTTGAAGTTGTCAACAGCGTTAAGGGATATGATGTCGTTAATTGCCGCCAAGTACTCTAGTTTTATGAGTGAAGTTGATTTAGTAGGCTACAATATTCATGGTAAATCAGTTTTTACTAGATCAAACTGGCTTAATTATTAGTAGTTTCTGTAAAAAGGTGAGGAGTTACAGCTTTTGGTCATGGATTGCCTATTTGGTTACGCCCGATTAAGGCATCTGGACAATCTATCGCTTCCTTTAAGTGATCAGGAATTCTGCGCTCGTACCGTTCCTTTACTGGAAGTAGCAATTACTGTCAAAATCATATTGGAAACTACCCTATGCCACATCAGTAACTCTCAAGCGCCACCATCAAACATCTCCCGTGCGGCCTGTTGCCTTCCCTTCGTCTTTCATCCCTGTCAAGGAGACAAAGAACACTAACAACTAATTACCATGACCGGCACTTCTACCAGTTATCCTGTTGATAATTATTCTTTTCTTCGCGTAGCTTTCATTCTACTCTTTATTCATCTTCATTCACATGTCGTTCTATTTGCTTCTTATCCTAGTAATACGTTCTTGTGATCAGATTTGTCTATATGCCTGCCATTCGTACCTCCAGCCTTGTCTATATACCAATCTTACCACCACCTATGTATAATTAATTGCTTCAATTACACTTATTTGTAAATTGCCATTACACCAAGATGTTTTCATCTACCAACAATTTATGTTATGATTGTTGTTTTCGATCACGATTCTTTAGCCAGAAGGCCTATAACTGTCCATGAAATATCAAGGTAATCTAGATGTGGTAAATCACCACTTACAAACCTCAAGTAGCCTATGAGGCTTCCAGGTTCTATACTCACAAGAACCAAGATGCCTCCAAAATTGCGTAAATTCAACGTTAAAGAAGTATAGAGCAGCACCAAAGCCAAGAACAAAAATCATGCCTCGGAAGAATTCGCAATGGCTTTTTCTCAGGCACACAACAGAACAATAGAATGATTTGAATGCTCGCAGACAATGATTATTTTCTTTTTTTTATGTATAAATAATAACGATATTTTTTCTTTATCAAAAAACTAGATGGTGTATTCGAGATAAATGTAAATGTGTGAATAATGTGAGTTTCAGTTTAGCTAGAGTGAAGAAAAAAAAAAAAGAAAAAAAGCATTTAATCTATAAAATATGGTAAAAATGTGAAAGAGAAGAAATGAAGCTACATTTTGAGATCAGACGATTTAGAAACCAACTTTTCTATCCAAGTTATCTCTGGCAGCCTTAGCAATGACATTCTCATCAGGGAAGGCAAGAGCTTCGAGGTTGGCAGCATAAGGAGTAGGAACATCAGCACCAGTGACACGGCTCATGGGAGAATCCAAGTGCCAGAAAGCATCGCCTATAACACAATTAATATCTGGCGCATTTACCCAATCCAAATTTCTATAAAATCCACTTACTTTCCATGATTTGAGCAGAGATCTCAGAACCAACACCGAAAGCGGCCCAAGCATTCTCGACAGAGATGATGTGGTTAGTCTTCTTGATGGAGTTGAAGATGGTCTCTGTATCAAGAGGCTTGATAGATCTAAGGTTGATAACTTCAGCAGAGATACCGTTCTTGGCCAAAAGATCAGCAGCCTTCATGGCGAAACCAACAGTTCTGGAGTGAGAGACAATGGTAATGTCCTTACCCTCACGCTCAATCTTGGCCTTACCAATAGGGATGACAAAGTCGTCTTTGAGAGCTTCAGCAGACATAGGGTAAGAGGTACCGTATTCAAGTTCGTTTTCGAGGACGACAACAGGGTTAGGATCACGAATAGCAGCCTTCAACAAACCCTTAGCATCCTCAGAGTTCCAAGGAGAGACAACCTTGAGACCAGGAACGGAACCGTACCAGGCAGAGAAATCTTGAGAATGTTGAGCACCAACACCGGCAGCGGCACCGTTAGGACCACGGAAAACAATAGGGCACTTGACAATACCACCAGACATGTAATGAGTCTTTGCAGCAGAGTTAACGATTTGATCAATGGCCTATTCAATTGGATGATGAATGAGTAAAATTTTTTTGCTTCCCCGTATTTTTTTTTTTTTCTTACTTGCATAGCAAAGTTGAAGGTCATGAACTCACAAATAGGCTTCAAACCACTGAAGGCAGAACCAACAGCAATACCAGCGAAACCCATCTCAGTAATGGGGGTATCGATGACACGCTTAGGGCCAAATTTGTCTAATAAACCTTTGGTAACCTAGGTGATAAAATTGCGGGGTATCAGCATATTGCACCTCCGATGGACGTATCCCCCTTGAAAGAACCCGAATCTACCCCAATCTTTTTTCTTATTTTCCCGGAATATCCCATTCACTATAGCACTAAAACCACCCCTCCACCCCTAACAAACTATACGCGATTTTGTTTTGATTTTTCCACTGTACCTTGTAAGCACCGTTATATTGAGCAACTTCTTCACCGAGAATATAAACTGTCTCATCCTTGATCATTTCCTCTTCGATAGCTTGGTTTAAAGCTTCACGAACAGTCATCTAATTTGATTCAAAAAAAAATTTAAAATTTGATTTTTGAAATTGTCATCAAGGGTAAATCAAACCTCAGTTCCGGATGTGGAGTTGAAACGCTTTTGAGCAAAGGCAACAGCGGTAGGCTTCATGGAAACGGCAGCAGCACGCTTCATGGCAGTAGGAGCCATACGGTTAATAGTTGCGAGAAAAGTCATTTTTTAGTGAATGAGATGTACAAAAACAAAAACAAAAAAGAAGAAAAAAAAGAAGAAATGAAAAATATAAAATAGTAATGAGATAAAGGGAAGCCAGACGCCCGCACTCGGCCGCACTTACTTGCTAGGTTTTTGGCTTCAATGTGATCGAAAAGGGTCACAGCTGGAGGCGAATAGGGCAAATAGTCGGCATCTTGGGTCCCATTGGAAAATCAGAAATCCTTATAAAATACCTTTTATGATTTTTTTTTAGTTAAATTTCGAAGCTAATTGAGCAGAGTGTGTAACAAAGGTATCTTTGAAAAATTTTTTAAGACATCATCTCGTTTGCAACATGTTATTTTATTTCGTTCCATTTCATTTCCTTGTTATACAAATTGATTTGAATATGAACATTGGAAAACAGTCTGTATGCATTACATACAGAACATTATCAGTTCAAAAAACATCCTCACTTTCTGTCAGCAATCTACCATTTGCCTAGTATCTTATGCCCTTTCGATGTGCTGCTGCTTGCATTAGTGATTGAAGAAGTGGTTCGAGGTGGAAGTGTCTTGTTCACATTTCCGGTATTTGACTTGTGAATGGAACCTTTGTAAGGTGGAACAACGCTTGTTTGTGGTGGCAATCTCTTATCCAATTTACCAATGTCCTCTACAAACTTGTCGGGTGTGATGATGTGAGTAGAACCTACAGAAAGATGGGATCGCATTAGATAGCAGCTTCTTTTAGACGTGCCAAATAACCATTACCAATGTAAACTTCTCGATCAAATGTTTCTGCAATCTCGTATGCTGATCGGATTTCAGAGTAAGTCATGCCTCCTACGATGAATATGATGATGGGTGGTCCAGAAGGTGGTTTGACAGCAGCCTAAACTCGTGTAAATGCTATGACAATGGTTGTTTCAGTATGAAATACACCTACATTAGCCCCAGTCGATTTTTTATGCCATTGAGTCTTGTAAACTCTTAACTTGGGCACTTCTTTAACTGCTTCGGTTGTATCTTTTCTGGTATTATGTTGCTTGACATTGCGGATGTTATTCGGGAATAAGCTCTGGTCAATGCTTCCGTCAATGTGTCCTTCCATAATACGCTTGACAACAGGAACATAGCGAGACAGGTCAAAGGGTACCTCTTGCTGAGGATTGACCTTCTTTTTCCAGCTCTTTTTCATCTTTTTACCTTGTCGATTGGCTGATTTGGACAATTGGACACCTAGTAGCTTGATGTTCTCGATAGCATCCTTATACTCTTGTTCTAGACGGGCAACGGCCAATAGTGTTTCCAGGTCCTCCGGATCGACAGTATCAGATGTTGCAATCCAGAGCAAGATCAACCGAGTCTTCACCATCTGAGAGGTCAAGGGATCATCCAGAATAGGAGTCAAAGATTCTACCAAATTTTTAGGCTTTTCGCCTTCGGGCGTTTCGCCACATGCCATGTCCTGCTCCAACAGACCAATTTCTTCCAAATTTTGATTCTTGAATTCCTGCATACATTCACTGGCAATGTTCATATGGGCTGAAAATCGAGTTTTCATTTCTTGAAATTGAGGTAAATTGCTGATCATATTCTTCATGTCGTTCAGACTGACAGCAGTAGCGGGACCGCCAGTACCAGAGATTTTGTTTTCATTGATAAACGCATTGAAATCACTGATTAGCTTCTCTGTTGTGTTGGCAATGTGCATGTGGCGGATGTTGGTATAAACTGGGTCTTGCTCTACAAGAGTCACTTCTTGATCTTGGGTGGTGCCGTCTTCTTGCGTATATTTGTATTCATATTTAAGGCCTGCTGGAATCTCTTCTACTTCCAATAAATCGGCAATCATGGCTTGATAGGTGAATTCATGCAAGAATGGTGAAATGGGATCAATGGTACGATCCAGGATAATTAAGGTACCGCTGGGAAGTGGAGGATCTCTGGGAGGCTATACAATCGTCAAATCACTGCCATCGCTTTTGAGAATCTCAACTTACAGGAAATTCAGGATTGGTGGCGCAAAAGTTGTCTAGCTCAGACTGAACCAGTTTGGCCAAATGCTCGGGGATTCTACGATTGATAGTTTCTTTGATATCCAAAGGACGGTGGTATCTAATCAAAGGGTTTTCACCAATAGTAACACAAACACACAAAAGCTAAAATCAAACATCCATCATTAGGCTTAGCTCTCATTGATTTTTTGTATATGGTACCTGTTTAGCTATATCATCCAGCTGGGGTTCAATCTGTCCTGGGCTGGTATCATATCCTCCAAACAAACCAAGAAACTTTCGTTGATCGTCCAACGTATAGACGCAGTTCTCTCGAACTAGAGCACTCGTGAGATCAGCGAGTTCAGCCGCTTGTAATATCAATCTTACCTAGAAAGTCGACGTACATTTCCTTTAAGCTTCTAATATCGTTAGCTGCATTAGCTGCGTTCAAAAGACGAGTGAACTCGTTGAAAGTGTTGTTATCCAATGCTGTATAGGCAGTGCTTAGTTAACAATATTTGAAAGCATGTGCAGCCTTACCATTGATAAAGTGGACATGAGCTGCAGCATACATCTTTCCTTCTTTACGTGAAAAATCATCTACTAGACGAGAACAGGACTCGATGCAAGGCGTCAAGATGTAGATAGCCTCGTAACTGGGATAAGGCTGTCTCGGCTTTTCGATGTTTTCTACCACTATGAGGGATAGTTAGCGAGCTGTATCAAGATGGCTGTCGTGGGCTCTTTTGACAATAGTTACATGTAACCTAGCAATAGTTATATCAGTACACACGTTCCTGACTCAAATCACTACATGTATCTTACATTTTCCTCGAGAATATCGTACATTTTGCATGCAGAATTCAATATCTTCGATGAAAGACTATCCACAACCACTAGCTTCCATCTGCCCGTGGGATTTACCGTCTTGATTAGCTCCAAGAAACCTGTGCTTTGCGTTAGATGAGGAGATTTGAGCAGTAAAACCATGCTTTTCTCTTACGCTTTTTGAGAATCTCATCTATCCCGATCATGGTCATGTTGATTGATAATGAAAAAGAAGAGAGAGAGAGAGAGAGAGAGGGCGAGGCACTGAATGACACTGTTGGCATCAATATAAGGCGGGGTTGCGCATAGTAATTTAGTAACTTTCAAGAGGAGGGCTGATGAATCCACGATTCAATGAGGAATTAAGGGTCACACATGTCTATCCAATGTTCAAATTAAATCGCTTCTGTGAGGCCAGCTTTAATGCACTGCGGTACAGACGCGAAAAGGCGAGTAAGAACGTACGAGAGGTCCAAATCAAGTAATTCTCCAGGTCGAGTTCATCTGTGAATGGTGCTCTTTTTTGGAGTAGCATCAACTCGCTAGGCAATTCGGTTATTGAAAAAATCTTTCATCGACATTTGAAGGATTTTTTCGTTTCGAATCCTTTTCTCTTTTTATCAACACTTTGGTTTTGTTGTAAATCTAGGCATTGTCGTACTTGAAGATTTACGAAAAAACACCTCACACATACCAGAAAGATCGAAAAGACGCCCTGCTCTGCGAGAAAATTAACCTATAAAAGTCAACCTAAAGCGCCATACATCTCTTTTGCTTTTTCAACACCCTTTTGCATCAAAAAGCGACCCAACTCAATTTACAGAACACCAGATTTTTTTCAACATGGAACAAATTGAACAAGCTGTCATGTATGCCCTCGGTCCTCAAGTAGAGCCAACCTTGAAAGCTCAGGTTAGATTTCGACTATTTTTTTTTTTTTTTTTTTTTTACTAGAGTGAGTTACGTACATTTGCTGAACGCGTTTACACATACTAGGCCAATGAATACTGCGAGCAAGTCAAGAACTCCAACGATGGCTGGCAACTGTGTGTCCAATTGTTCATGAAAGAGCCTAAAGCGTAAGTTTTTATGAGGGCACTCCTGAAAAATATTTAACTGCATGTCTCTGACTGAAGCTTGATGTAACAGACTTCCAGAGGCAAGATTCTTCTCTCTCCAAGTGTTGGAGAACACTTTGCGAAACAAGTAAGCCTACAACCACGCTGACCATGATGCCAGAGCTTACTTAGTTGCTGTTTATCCGCCTAGATTCGAGACGTTGGACAATGCCGCAGTAGAATACATCCAGCGGACCATGATGGAATACCTTCGCAGAGAGTTCGTTGACAACACCACCGGATCAGAAGAGTCATGTATGCATGATGCCGCTTTTTTTCCTGTTTTTCCTACTAACACGTTCATCTAGTCATTCGAAACAAAGCAGCTCAATCACTCACCCTATTATTTACACATGTATACCCAACCATCTGGCCCTCCTTTTTCAAGGACATGATAGCAGTTGCCAAAACGCCCTCTGGAACACCTAGCCATGAAAAGGCTGCCGATTTTTTCCTGAGACTCTGTATCAGCATCGACGAGGAAATTGCTCGAATGGACATTCCTAGAACTCGCGAAGAGGTCATCCGCAACACAAACATCAAAGACACTATGCGTTTGGGCGACATTCAGTTGTTAGCATCATTCTGGTTCGACCTTTTGCAAGAATTCAGATCCACCAACCCCAGCATTGCTCAATTAGCTCTGAAGAATATTGGATCTTTCATTGCCTGGATGGACATTTCTCTTGTAGTCAACGATCAAGTGATGAGTGTCTTATACGAACTGTTGTCTGACGCTAACTTGCGTATCTCTGCTTGTGAATGTTTGGCTGACGTTATCAGCAAGGGCATGTTGCCTGCGGACAAGCTGAATATGCTCCAAATGTTGAATATCACCGAGGTATTGGGCAGACTGGATATGGTAAGATTTGCACTGTACTTGTTTGTGTAATTGTATTACTAACACTGGGATTTTTATAGTCCGAACCAGAGTTTGTTGAATATGTCGCTCGTCTGATCAATGCTTTGGGTACCGAGCTTTGCAAGATTTACGCTGATACATCTCTACCTAATGAGGGAAAGCAGGCTGCTTGGAGCATGATTGAGCAAACTACTCCTTATTTGCTAAAGTTCTTGGCCAACGAGTACGACGACACTTCCTCTGGTGTGTTCCCCTTTGTGAATGACATGCTGTATATTGTAAGTAGATATTGAATGTGTGTAAAATACATTGCTAACATGAGCGACATAGTACAAGAGACAGAAGAAGCAAATGCAACCATTTTCTCAGGGCCAGCATGAATTTTTAGCCTCTTTGCTAAACGTTGTCATTGTCAAGCTGAGATACGACGAGGACACTGAATGGAGTGATGATCAGGACGAACCAGAGGAAGAAGCTCTATTCTTTGAAATGAGAAAGGTAAGACTGGGATGATGGTGACAACGGTGTGTGTGTGTGTGTGTGTGTGTGTGGGAATGCTAAACATTGGGTCTTTGGTAGAATTTGCGCATCTTTGCAGAACACATTGCCATGATTAATGAAGAGCTGTATGTGGGCTATATTCACTCGTTTGTCATGGAGACTATAAATAAATATAAGGCTGGGACAGAGCTGAATTGGCGAGATGTTGAATTGTGCTTGTATGTGCTGTATTGTTATGGCGAAGCTCTATCAAAGGCTGCTATGATTTTTGTTACTCCAAATGATGCTTTATCTCCTTTGGGTGAATTGGTTTCCGAAATGGTCAATTCAAGTAAATATGGCTCTCTTGTCTCGTCTTGTAAGGAACCTTTTATTAACGCTTGTTTTTTTCCCATTAGATATCTCTGCCTATCCTCATCCCTCATGTGCAATGCAATACTTTGAAAATGTCACTCGCTACTACCAGTTCTTTGAACATCGTCCGGATCATCTGCCTCAAGCATTGGCTGCATTTGTCGATACAAGAGGCTTGCATCATCCTGTCAAGCAGATTCGCACCAGATGCTGGTACTTGTTCCAGCGCTTTGTAAAGAACTTGAAGCCCAAAATGACTCCCTATGTCGAAAACGTCTTGTCGTCGCTTGGTGATTTGCTGAGTATTCAAGCTGAACCTGTCGTTGAAACCAATACTATGGATGGCATGCCTATTCCTGCTGCATCAACCTTTGATAGCCAATTGTATTTATTTGAAACTGTGGGTCTACTTATCTCGATGGAAGGCATTGACTCTATGAAGCAAACAGAATACCTCAAAATTGTGTTGGAACCCTTGGTGGAGGGTATTCAAAAGGCTATGGCTCAACCAGTTTCTGATGATGAGCTCTTCTTGCTTCAGTTGCATCATTATATTATGGCTATTGGAAGTGTGGCCAAAGGTATGTTGCTTCTGAAAACACTTTTTTAAATGTGTTACTGATCATGCCAACCATTAGGATTCCCTACATTGGTCAATCCATCAGAAGGCGCACAGCAACCTTGGTCAGTCGTGTTCATTCAAGCTACAGAAATCATCTTGAGCGCTTTGCAGAGTTACAACCAAATGGCTGTCATTCGTGATGCTGTTCGATACACATTTGCTCGCCTCATTACCTGTCTAGGTACTCAAGTGCTGCCCTATTTGCCTTCGCTCATCAATGGCCTTTTGACTGAATGTCAAGTAACCGAACTGGTCGACTTTTTACCTTTCATCGGCCTAATTGCTCACAAATACAAGCCCATGATTGAACCCATCATTGATGAGCTCTTGCTGCCCCTGGTCAGACGCGTTTTTGACTTTCTTAATACAACACCTTCTGGAACTGATGAAGCCTTCTTATTGCTGGATCTGCGCAAATCTTATTTGAATTTTGTATTGAGCTTGTTCAATGCTAATTTAGAAAAGGTCTTTGTCAGCGAACGTAATATAGAATCTTTAGAAACCATTTTACAGACATTCTTGCATTTTGCAAAGGACAACTCTGATCCCACTACACAAAAGATGTCATTCGGTGTATTCCTCAAGACGGTCAACTCATGGGCTTCCAACACTGCTGCTCCCGGCCCTACTGTTGCTGGATTCGATCAGTTTGTATATAATCAACTCTTACCCATCACATTCTCTGTTCCAATGAGCGCGGCCTTCAACCTAGCTGATGGACAATCTATCTTGGTATGTTGACGAGCAATGTTGCTTTATGATATATTATGCTAAATATGAATGGCAGGTATTCGGCGAGATGACTAGTATTCAAAAGGCCATGTGTGTCAAGCAAGGGGCAGACTTCATTGAGTACATGAAGGGAGTCTTCCTTCCTTCTATTCAATGTCCTCCTGAAACAGCGGAAAGATACTGCCAGGCTGTGCAGCAGTATGAAGGTAGACAATTCAAAAAGTACTTTCAGGTAAGTTTTCAAATGATGTTGGAGTTGGTCGTATGTCTAATCTTGTTTGTAGTCCTTTATCTCTGAGGCCAAAAGTTAAAATAAAGCCAAGTTCCCTATATATATATATCTCATTCCCCTTCAAATAATAATAAAAAAAAAAGACTCTGTAATTTAGAAATGTAAATCCTGGATTGTGTACAAATACTTCATTCGTATAATCGTTGTCATGAATACACCTTGAGCTTCTCAAAAACAGCGACTAATCTCTTGCAACCCACATAATTCTCAAATTATTCTGGCTAAGCTTTCGCATTTTGCCAGCCAGCTGCCAAAATTGGTTCAATCACCGCTTGCCAGTTTTTTGCCCGATTCGTTAACTTTTGAGATTTTTGGACATCCTTCGACTTATTTTGCCAGGATCAACTCTATAAAAGGTGTTGATCATCTCATGCACCCTTAAGCTTTCCTGAAGTACTTTTCAAGGAGCATCCAATGGTGTCAATTATGAGAGGCGTTCTGAACAAGCTTATTGAATAATTCTAAAAAATAAGAAATGAGGTTTTGGGCCAAAATGCAGAGATTTTACATATGAATGCCTCACAAACATAGTTTCAGGGGTTGCCTTGGATCGAGAGAAGCATTTTGAATTAATATATGCCATAGCAAAAGTCTTCATTTTGAAGGTGAAAAACGCGATCGTTTGATTTTCGATGAAAACCATGAGGTATTCCTCATGGTTTTGAGTCGATCTTTGACGATCCCAAAAAAAAAAAATTGGGCAAAGGCCGCAGACAGTTACTGCTAGATGAGAGCAATTATTTGGTGCTATTCTGGAAGTCTTAAACGGCTTCTAACACGAGAAATCACGACGCAAATGTATCCAAAGTTCGCTGTATATTGCTTAATTTTGAGTGCCATTAGCCAATGTGAGTATGCTGTATTCCCACATAGTGGCTGTTCCTATCAGTATAAGCACAGAGCATTGCAGGGAAGTCAGATCCACAGGTATAGGTCGCTCATGAGGCGCTTTGGAGTGGTAGTGGAGGGTTGACCTGCAAAATTTTAGCAGATATGGGTTGTACTGATCGGTTTTGTATAAATTCAGTTAATCCTTATTCAAAGCCGACCATTTCTTGATAGAGCCCATGATAAGCATTGTGAGAATGAGCAGTATTACTATGTAAATTACTCATCTCGTGTATTTCCTGTGCTGTCTCTTCGAATATGCATCATAATGTTGACATGCGGTGAGATCTGAGCACTTGTAAAAGCTGTTCTATACATGAATTGATCAGACGCCAAACAATATTAACATGTATTATATAGCAAGTGATATGTATGCATAATCCGATCAGTATCAATCACATCTGCATTCTAATACTAGACATCCAAACGCCTTTCATATCGTCAGATTCAGAATGCGAATGAAGAATTCATGTATATACATCTTGTACACAAATGAGAAGCCAGTAGTGACCTGATCCGAGAACGTGCTAATGAAAGAGCTTCTTCCCGGGTATCACAAAGGATACTGACTGATACAATCTCGCATAAACGCAGTTGGTGGAAGGTTGCTACCGATTGCATTACACGATACACTCCTTCCCCATACAAAAGCCCAAGCCATTGATAGCGAAGCATCTAGCCAATTCAACATTCATTATGCGCATATTTTTTCATTAATGTGGTCAACATCCCTATGCCTAGAGCTGCAAAAAAAGCAAATAGGAGATGCTTACGCCTCTCTTGACATATCTAATTACATCCAGAGAGTATATGGTTTAGAGACCTTGTCAACATGTGCTTAACGTTGAACGGCATTATATTCTCGAAAAAGCAATATATATATATATATATATATATATCTTCCATACTTCTCACAGCACTTGCTGGCATGCCTCGCACCTGTATTACAAATTATAAATGGATGTGGTATCGCTCCCCCTTTCTGAAAAAAGTGCAAATGATGTACGTGTACATTTTTTGGGACAAAAGGGAGAACCTCACATGCACACACACATAAGATGTGATATGTCTTCAAAATCTGACAAAAGCAAAAAGATCATGCGATTACCTAATGGCGATAATGATGGTATAAGAATGGGGTTAGTTTGTATGAAATAGAAGGGAAAAACAAGCCGACACCTGTTTTATACTTTGGTACAACAATAAGCTACTGATGGTACAGCTACCATCACAACCACTTTTTTTGCAAGGCAGAGAATAGCCCCTCTTTTTTTTTTTTTTTTTTTTTTTTTTTTTTTTTTGCAGCGTACATATATTTACATCAGAGATTTCCTTTCTCTCTTTTCTTTCCTCTTTCTTGCTCTTTTATCTTTTTCACTTGAGTTATAATGGGATTTATCGACAAATTAAAGACGCAATATGATTTACATCAAGTTAATCGATACACCAAAAGAAGAGAGGCACAATCTGATTTTGAATTCAAGGACAAGGATTACTATCGAGCTACATACAAAGATGGTGTTTATTCAACCAGGGACAATTCACCATCCTTCTCTCGTAGATCCTCTTCCTCCTCACGTAGATCTGTTGCATCTTGGTTTGCAGTGCCTGAATTAATCAAAAAGACGACACAAAAGAAGAGAAGATCGCTGGCTACTGAACAAAACAAGACATCCGAGTCATATACATTGGGTGTATGAAGCAAACATACAAACAAACATACACACTCACGCATCTATACATAAACCATTCACTCAAAGAACGCAAACACTTTGCCTCTCTCTCTCTCTCTCTCTCTCTCCATAATCTAATGTTTATGTGTATAATAAATGTATCTACGTAAATATCCCATCATTCTCATATATTTATAGAAACATATTTTTAATTATGAAATGATGATGGTATTTGCCCCCATTAGCTTGTATATTTGAAAGGCACAACATGATACAGAATATTTGCTTGCACATCATCACATTACGTTTGGAGGCAAAAATATACAAGTCCAATGCAGGATTCTCCCCATCCCCTGTTACTCGCCTCCTATTTGCAATATTCTCTATTTTTTGGTTTCCTCGTCATTTCCCAGGATTGAATCACATTACACAAGGAAAAAGTTGGATTCACTTGTTTAGCCAAAGCCCATAACCATGTGGCCGCATGGTATCGATATATACGGATTCTTTTGGAAAGAATCTGACAATATATGCTTTATGCAGTACTGCTGATTGCTCGAAGCAGTTCGCCATAGCAACACAAGCGAGTGAGCTGCTTGATGCCTCTCATACCAACCGTGTAAAGGGCAAGGCTACATTTGGAATCTCATTTTGTATATAAATACTAGCTTATATCGTACTTTTTCGGTTTTAAACGTCTGAGCATGTTGACTACATACTAAAGATCTGGTATTCTTGAGGAACCCGTAGCTATACAGAGTTTATGTCATGAATATGAATGATACACTGTCTTATTGCACATAGAGTACACACCAATAAAACGTATAATGACTCGTTATAGAGATACTATCGTCAACAAGAAGAGAAAAAGAAGCTTTTATGCATAATTTAAACAAATGTGCCATTGGCCACAAATGATTGTCATACCATTGATCTGCTACTATTGCACACTCCTTGAATCAAGTGGGATATTTGCATGCTTTACAATTACCATTTTAAACCAAATACCCTATCAAATGGGAATATGCATTGTCTTGTTACAGCTTCTTTCATGTAAAATCCCAAGTCTCACAAGAGAAAGCATCCAGTAAGGCCATGTATGGCATGATGGATGAGAGAGGCTTCAGGCACGGCAACATTTTACAGTGATCAGAGGCTGGGCATTTGACAAATGCTCTCTCGACATGGTAGAGTTTTGGAGTTTATTTCGTATGCGTATCATCTGGTATTCTAGCACCAATTTAAAATGGAATTCCGGCATGGCTCCGTATTAGACAGCTTGATGAAACATAATGAAATTTATCAACACGAGGCAAATCAAGCAATGCTCAATGTAAACAAAGCATGACAGAAGGACTCAATGTGACTGAATCTCAAACGTGCTTTTATCATTGTTTACACGGACGCTTGATTTGGCTTGCTGATTCACATGGCAAATGACAAACAAAGAGAGCTGCATGCAGTGTGAGACGTGTGTGCCGTTGACAGATGATCCATTCAATAGCTGAAATAAATTGAAATGTCACTTGTTAGCATCAAAATGTCAATTTAATATGGACCCAATAAAGAGTGCCTATCTATATGGATCTTGTATACCTTTCTAATTATACACATTCAATTCATCAATTATTATTATAGCCAATGTGGATAATAAAGGGCGATCATTTCTGGCTAATAATGAAAAACAAAAGTTTACCATTTGCAGTAACTTGAAATGAATAGCCCAAAATCAGAGCAATGTCAAAAAGCCATATTTGAGCAATCCAATTTACGGGGTACTAAAAAAAAACTACCTTGTGCAACTACGGGTCAAAAGAGAGGGAAAGAGAGAGATATGTCTTAATGAATAATTAATTTAGTGGCATAATATACTAGACATTTGCAGACAATGACCAGCGTATACTGCTGTTTGTGTGCGAGCAGAGCAAGCGCTCCATCATGAGACGAATGCAAAATGGCAATTGTGTTGAATCTGCGTGTTTGATATGGTATAGCAGGCGTGCAAGTATTGAAATACAACATGGAGCGCAAATTGCACAGATTGAATAAGCGCACAATCAGTACCAAACAGATGTGTAATTTACACTTGATTGATTGTGTCCATCATGTATAAATAAACATTGGCGATGAGCGTCCTCGCCTATTCTTCCTTCTCTTTTTCTCTGCATCTCTTTGTCCCTTTTCCATCGAACCCAACTTTACATTCCTTTGCACACACACACACACACACACACACACACACATACCGCGAAACATGAAAATCCAAACCATCATCATTGGAGAATACCAAATTTCACCTGCCGTATCATTTTGTTTATATCAACTACCTTCACCACTGGTAACACCACCGAGATCACTCAATACTCGAGATCCTCAAGATCAATACTTCAATTACTTTTGCTTGGAAGATTTGTTTGCAATCTTTGATCTTCATTTGATTAACCAAAACTTGATTCGCTCCTATCAGCACTATCCTGGCTTCTTTTGCAAAGATGAAGCAGGACGCTCCTATATTCAAACACATGTCATGGCTGACATTGCTCAAAAGCACAACATGTGTGCCTTGGCTGATCTCTGTCGTTTGCGAGACGATGAATTGATGGCAGGCGGTGCTATTCCTCTGCTCAAGATGACTACATTTGTCCGTCTGTTTGGTAAGCCTGCAGTCATGTCACTCGATTTTGAAGCAAGACCGTTGGAGGGAATCGAGTGGTTTTTTCAGCAAAACAAGGTGAAACTAGAGCCCTTCTCGCCCACGCTGCCTGCCTTTATCTCGCCATCCAATTCACCCCACCCAAGGTAATTATTGCTTGCCTCCCTTTTTTTTTTTTTTTTTTTTTTTTTTTTTTTTTTTTTTTAGAATATGCTACACCAAGTTTATATAATTTGTGTGTGGCCTCGGTCGATCCAAAATCGAATATATAATATACTTTTTGTACGCCATTATGAGTAACCAGAAATTAATTATTTAAAATAGAACACATCGCCTGTCATCCGATGTATTGTCAAACGCCTCTTCTTCTCTTTCCATTACTTCTCAAATGGCTGCTTCTCCTGCTCACAAAGAAGACAATACAGGCATCAAATTACCAAAACCATCTTCATTGCTGCTCAAGAGACTGGCGCCCAAGCATGGCCACAAGAAGAATTTGACCATCTTGACACCATCTTACAATGACGATGACGAGGACAGCGTCCATCTCAACAGCATTCAGTCGGCTCCTCTCAAGAGATCAACTATTCCACCTTTCCATCACCTCCACAGCAGCAACAGCAGCAGCCAAAAGCACAAAATCACCAAGCGCATGTCGCCTCCCACTGCATCATTCCTGACCGTCAAGAGCAACAACCTTCGTCGTTTAGCTGTGCCTGCCACAGCATCTGCTGTCTCGGCGCCTTGGCCCAAGACAGCCGCTCAAACACGATTTCCTAGTCCTCCCATTGTGCCATCCCAACAACCAGCATGGGGTCAATACCGTCAACAGCAACACAACAAACTCAAGCCCACCATCAAGACTGCAACAGTGCCATATTTCCCTCGTACGCCTACTACCACCACCACGCACCCGCCTGCAACGGCACCTACCACTTCATCGCCTTCTGCTTCTTCATTACCACAAAAACAAAAGTTTCTACAACCATTTGAATTCCTCTACGACCACATTGAACAAACTCGCACTCTCAAGACAACCCTGGATGATCAAATTCGCCGTTCATCTTCATTGATGCAGACATTGCAATCCTCTGGCACCATGGTCGAGTCTCTGGTGCGCCGTCAAGTGCGCGACATGGTGGATCAAAAGTTCGAGAGCAAATTAAAGGAATGCATTGAAAGGATTTCACGTTTAGAACACCGTGTGCCAGCCAAAGATATACCCATCTCGCCTTCCGTGTCTCCTTCTCCTACTCGGTCCAAAATGGCAAGCGTTACTGCAACAACCAACGAGCCTGTGCAAGACTTGCTGTCTCAGCTCATGAATCGAATCGATCAATTGGAGAGCAAGCTGGAGAGACAAGCATAAGCATGTATACACACTGTATCGTGATCTCTCTCTCGTACTGAAAAATCACATACAACTTGATACCCCTAATTTGTAGAATTTACACTAATAAACAAACCAATTTCCAACAAATACGACTAAATTACATTTTCTTGCATTACCACGTTACGCAGATACTATTTAGGAATTTTATTTTTAGACTTGAGGATGAAATTCAGGTACAGGCACAAGCTCTTCAGGCACACACACACACACACACACATATCTATTAATTACGCCCTCATTATTTGAAAATCCGTAATCTATCGTTGGCTTATCTCGATCAGCGTGATGAAAGCGATGCACTCTCTCTTGGCAAGCATGGGCATTGGCAACCACATTAGGCGCTCTTTTAGATCCTCGACACATCACAAGGCACTCGTTTGGTGGAATTCATTGTTCTCAAATACCTCCTAAAGGGGGAAGCTCCAATGAATACGTGACAATGTCTAGACTTTTCATGTTTATTTATAGAAAAATGGTGTATATCCCTGGTAAAATCTAGTCAAAGAAGCCGCTGTTATCTTCATCGTACTCCTCCTAAAATATTGATTGTTAATTTCTCATGTTTATACAAGATGAAAGGCCAATACTTACATAGGTCGTATTGCCATTGGGATCAATATGAGTAACTACACATTGCACGGATTAGGTCAATTGCACATGTGCCAATAGATATATGTCTGCCTACCTTCAACATCATTGTCAAACCAACCATCCTTTCTTTCAGTAATTGTCTGTCCTCCATATTCATCTATACACACGCAGCATGAATACTCTCCCTACTCAAATAATGTGCATTGTATACGTACCAGTGGTAATCACAGTCTCTCTGTCTGCGCCAAACCAGCCACCATCTTCACGAATAATGGTAGTTTGAGTGTCTCCTCCGCCATCCTGTGGTTGTTGATAGTCTCCAGGATTGTAGTTGCCGTATCCTCCATTATAGGGCTGTTGTTCCATTGGGGGAGGAGCATTGTATGGCTCCTGTGGAGGTGGAGGTGGAGCATTGTATGAAGGTTGTTGGTTGTATTGTTGTTCTGTAATATAGATGACTCAGCACGCTATGACCACTCCCACTAGTATACAATGCCACACTTACGTTGTTCTAATTGTCGTTGCTCTTGTTCCAAACGCTCAATACGATCACTCTGTTCCTCTTCATGGTGCATGATACTACCAATAGCAAGACCACCAGCGACACCTACTGCTGCAGCACCGGCCATTTTCATACCTGAGGACATGCCACTTGGCTTGGATTGAGGTACAGCAGGAACATATTGCACTTGTTGGCCGGGATAACCTCCTTGTTGAGGATATTGTTGTCTTTGTTGCTGGTGAGGTGAGCCGCCATAGGAAGATGCTTGAGATGGAGGAGCAGGAGGGTAGGAACTGTTGCCTCCATAAGATGCTTGGTGTTGAGGAGGAGGAGGATAAGCACCACCACCATAAGGAGCAGCTTGCGAAGGAGGAGGAGGAGGAGGAGCACCTTGTCTCTGTTGCTGTTGAGGTGCAGGAGGGTAAGTGTTGCCATAGGGTGATTGCTGAGGTTGGGGGTATGGGCTGCTATGGTTGCTTCCACCGCCATAGGGAGATTGAGCAACAGGAGCAGGAGGGTAAGAGTTGTTGCTGCCATAGGATGATTGCTGAGGAGGGTAGCCAGGATGCTGTTGTTGAGGAGGGTATGCGCCACCTTGTTGAGGTGGTTGGGGTGGGTATCCAAAGCCTTCAGGACGTGATGCTGGAGGTGGAGGAGGAGAGCCGTAGCCACCATAAGCAGGTGGGGCAGGGGCAGGTCTCTCCCAATGTGTAGATTTGGTATTGTGATCAATGTAGTAACTGTTATCATGTTAGCACCCGATAAATAGCCTATAGGGTATGTATCTATTACTTACGGTCTACCTTCTGGAGTCCACTTTTCTTCCCATCCTGCTTGCATATTAATTTCAATGTACAGTTACATTTCAGTTGCCCTACACAAACCTTGAGGTAAAGGTCCCGACATGTTTTGGTTGTTTAGAAATGAGGGATTGCAAAAGAGAAAGAGGAGATGAGAAAAAAAGGTCGTGATAATGTATATTTTATAAGGTGTTTAATTAAGGTTTTACCGAGCTGTTTGTCTCAATGATTGCCCATTATACCAACCATTATCATTTTTTCGGACCCACAATGAACACGTTTCAACGACACACATGAAGTCTATTTTGTGCATTATACCACCACCCCTTGCTTTACCAGTGTATTTATAGCAAAATCTCCTTTTCATTTATTGTTGGTATTCTAATGATTTCTTGTATTCAGAGGACAAGCATACACTCTTCTCTTTTTTTTTTAAAAAAAAAAAAATCGCAAATATAGGATAATAGGCATCTTTGTGGTGGCTGTATCACTCTAAAGATCCACAATACAGAAATCCCATATTCTTATTGTACAAAGAGTTTATACTCAGTAGCTGCTTTCAGAGCCGAGATTTGGTTCTTGAGTTCACTGATATCGGATTCTGAGGACTTTTTCATGTTGCCGTTTCTTGAAGCCACTCTCAGTCTAGACACATCGTCCCGTTGATGCAACAGCTCCTCTTTGAGGCGCAACAGTTCCTTATCTTGAGACTTGATTTTGCTTATGGAGGACAGGTATTCTTGTTGAAGCGAATCACGTTGATGGCGTAACGTTGACCAGCCATCATTGGCGACAGGTTTGGCAATGGTTTCCTCGAGATCTTTCGCCTTTTGATCCAATTTCTCGTATTTCTGAATCCAGGAACGCACTTGATTCTCCAGTTCAATGGCCTTCAATTTGAGTCGAGATTTCTCTTCGCGCTGCTGTGTCAAGTTTTCAATCAAATCAACCACTCTAGACTCTAATTTGTAGGATGCTTCCTTCAAATGACTGACACTGCGGGCTTCTGCTCGAAGCACGACCAGTTGACGACGCGCTTGTCTGCGTCGCACACAGGATTGTATACGGATTACATAGTTGCGAATGGCTTGGTATCGTTTGCGTGCTAGCCATCCTCTGGCAATCTTTTGGATCAAAATAGCGGCGTGCTCTTGTTTGAGTGTTGCGTGTCTCTTTCTTGCAATCACACCACGAATAACTATGTCCACTCGTTAGTCATCGGCTGCTGGAAACATGGAATTGCGCTCTACATTACCTGCTTGTGCCTGAATGATAAAAGCACGTGTTTGCAAATACTTCTTTCGTGCAATATAGCGTCTCCAGTTCTTTTGGATCACAATGGCGGCCATTTCTTTACGCAACAGCTCCATCTCACGCACAGCAACTCTTCTTCTGGCAATGCTTTGTAACATCAATGTCATCTTTTGTACTCGCACGTATCTCAAGCGAGCCAAGAAGCGACGCACGTTCTTTTGAATCATCGTAGCGCATGAATTCAATTTGTCTGATCTCAGCTTTTCCATGTAGGCAAGTTGTCCAGCACGGAAGAAGATCTTTGTCAAACCCACTTGATACTTGTCAGTGTCTTTGATGTTGGTGTCCAAAATTTGCGAGCAAGTAGCTCTAGTGTCTGGGTTGGTTTTGGGATCCCAGTGGGCGAAATCAATCAATGCGTGGTATCTAGTTATTGAACATGAGTTTCGTAGCATTCTGGATCCATTGCTTCGTCCACGTACCTTTCAGAAAAGTCTTCAAAAGTCCATCGAGTGGGATAACCAGCACAACTGATACGAATGGTCTCCAACACACCGCACGCACGAAGTTGAGATAGCACAATATTAGGCTGGAAGATCCAGGCAACCTTGGCTTCGTTTGGCTTGATACAACGAATATAGTGAACGTTGGTTTCGCCAATGGTATCCATCAAATTGATCAATGACAACTATCCATGGGCCATGGTGAGTAACATGCCAACCATTCCCTTCTTGCTTGCACAGTCTTACCTTGAAAATAGAACCCAAGGTGGGCTTCTTTGCTTGATTCAGTGTCTTTTTGGGCGCTTGTTCAGTCTATGAAATGTGATGAGCATCCATTTTACCTGCTGCCAAGTGCGTATGTCAAACTTACAATGGGTGTTGAAGGAGCGGGTGGTTGAATCATTTCAGACAAGAAGGAGGATTTGGAGCCTTGCAACAAATTCAGCAGCTCCTCAGGAACAGTATCCTTGTTCTTGTCCATAAAGCCTTCCGCTTCGTATTGCACATCATGAGCGTAATGAGCAACAACAAATGCGGCATTTGAAAATCGAGGCTTCTTGAAATAGTCTTGGTATGTAGAGTTGAAGTTTTGGTAGAGTTTGGTACAGAATCCTTGATCTGAGCCAGATGGCAAGCGAGACTCTTCATCCAATAACGACAAAATACCCATCTTTGCTTCAATCATTTCAATACACTTTTGATTGTCGCTGAACGAGATGAACTTCCAGTCAATCTCTTCCTTGATGTATTCTTCTTGCTCCAATTTGAATACGTGTTGGTTGAACTGCTGTTGAAGTTTTTCGTTGGCGTAGTTGATACAGAATTGCTCGAAAGAGTTCTTTTTGAAATGCTCAAAACCGTAGATATCCAAAACACCAATAAAGCTTTGCACGAGTTCAATGTTGGGACAAGACAGACTGTCGTTGATGTTGCTGACAAGCCAGTCGAACAGATGAGCGTAAATGTACTTGGCGACTGAATCTCGGACGACTTGAGCTTGCGTAGGAGAGAGATTGGAGACAATTTTTTCTGAGCGAGTGACGATTTGCTTTCTGACAATCCACTTTCTGAATTCAGAGGCGTCCAAACCGAGCAACTCGGTAGCCTTTTGCAGAGAAGGCTCGTCATCGGCCAAAGTAGCATCGTTTCTTCCGCCAATCTCGATGTTACCCAAATGCAACAAGGCTGCCAAAAGACGGAAAATCTCTGACTGGATCTCGTTGTGAATGCCGATGGTGTTGAGTGCTGTGCGAGTCTCTTCAAAATCCTTGGCATCGTCTACCGAGGGGATAACACCCGTTCCACTCTGATTCAAATAATGAAATTCTGACCATTCCTTCAGGGCCAACTCCTGTCGTTCGTCCTCGCTTGCACCTGCACACAGCTTTTTTGGGCTCATGTTAGTCTTGTGCGGGTGAGCTATAAATATATACATGACTGTACCTGATAAAAGACGTGGTAATTTCTCTCCGTCTCGGGCTGGAAGATGAGACGAGATCTCTCCAGCAAGTAGGTCCTGATCTTGGCACCCACAATGTTGCGCTGCTTGTCAAACTCGATCTCAATGTATTTACCAAATCTCGAAGAGTTGTCATTTCTGGTGGTTTTTGCGTTACCAAAAGCTTCCATAATAGGATTGGTGGCTAAAAGAAAGGATGATTGATCAGTACAACATGTAAATATTAAGGAGCTGCCGTATTGCTGCTACTGTACCTAAAATTTGCTCCTCTACTTCAGTCATATTTTCGCCCTTGGCTTGCTTGCCAAAAGCCTCTTGATCGTCGGCTGTAGCGAAATAACGCATAATGTACTTTGCACTGACAGTTTTACCAGCACCACTAAAGTTCAAGCATGTCAACTTGGCTGTGTGCTTCTGTACCCCGCGCATGCGCCCATCCTTACCTCTCTCCTGATACAATGATTGTTTGATTCCTATTGTCTCTGATCATACATCTGTAAGCATCCTCTGCAATTGCGAAAAGATGGGGTTCAAGATCGCCTCTTCTACTTCCAGAATACTTTTGGATGATCTCGGGCTCGTATAATGGTACACGGGCAAAAGGATTTGCTGCAATCAGTACGATACCAGAGTAGGTGTAGATGTTCTTTTCCTCGTAACGAGTCTTGATGGTGTTTAGCACTATACATGTAGAGGGAAGGAGACATGGTTAGAGAAAAAGGGAGTAGATCCGTTTGTGTGATGTTTCTTGCGTGTGTATCCCATCAAAAAAATAGGAGTAACTCATATGTGTTGTATCACACACACACACACACACACACACACACACTCAAGACACACAATCCCACAACAAAATTACCGTACCTGAAGGCTCGTTGAGATAACTGAGGTTGGTCAAGTCGTCGGTATTCTCCATTTTGGGAGGGTTTCGAAGTGGTGGTAGGCTCACTTTGTTGGACTCGACATCTGCGATACTCGCTTCAAAGACATGTTGCTATCAAGCAGAACAAAGGAATGAGCACACATGCTGGGATTGCTGCTAGCAGAGCGTCTCGTATATTCTTTACCTTTTCAGCATCCTCATCGTCTTGGAATGAGATTTTGATTGACTTGGCGTCCACTTCCTTGGTGATGACTGAGGCAGACACCCAACCAAGCTCTTCATCGGGGAACCAAGCTTTGATGCCTTCAGAATACACTTCGACTAACTCCAAGTTGCTTCCAGTCATTTTATATCGAAATAGTAAAAAAAAAAAAAAGTATTGAAGAAGAGAAAGAAGCGCTTTTTTCACTTTTTGTCGACCTATTTTTTCATTTAAACTTCCCAAACTTGGATAAGGCACGAGTACCCCCCAAGTATAAGATTTGCCTTTAACGAGCTGAGTTGATACTTCGACAGGTGGTAGCAAATAGCCTGTTTGTCAGTGGGATGTACTTTATCACTAGCGCCTCCGTGTTTTAACAATATGTAAGGAACAGAGAGATCCTTTGCAGATCTTGGTTTGTGCGTTTTCTACCGGCAAAATCGCCTTGGCTGCAGCATCAAGACCACCGAATGCTGCGAGACATTTCCGAAGAGGATCTGAATCAAAATTTAGCGTTTCAACTCAGTTTACCATGATTCATGGTAGTAAATGGTACCTTGGGTGGCGAAATTCATGTGTCAAGTGTAGTTGGTGTGGTGATTATGAGAAACTTGTTTATCCCCCTACTCTTTTACTGAGAAGATCTGCTCTCTTGATCCATTTTACTGACAATACATACGGGTTTAAGCTCGCTTTGTAATTAACACTCAATTTATCATTAGGGCTGTAAATGGAACTCACATTGATTGCTATTTTTATGACTCCACCATGCTCAGATATGCAGCCAGATGGTACTAGTCAGTCTATGTTCGTTATCAATCATAAGCATACCAGTATTATGAGAATAGAGCTACCGTTCTATAGCAATATAATCACCTAAAGTACTGTAATAGAACGTGGTACTGTGCTACAAGACAATTTATTCAGAAGGTACAGCATTAGTTCTCAGATTACTATAAATGTAAGCTTGATTTACGCTGGATCTAGGTATTGATGGCCTGCCTCGGCTTGCTTGTCAATAGTGTTGGTATATGAACTTGTCAGAAGTAGACCAAATTCAGTTTGATCTCTTCGCCATTTGACGGCTGAACAGTTAGCATGTACCTTGGGGTGCTTATATAATAGAAACAAGAAGATTCCAGTCGTCCAATACGGCGCTTAAGTTACAGGCATCATGATTCCGTTTCGTTTGGCATTGAGCATCAATGTATTGATTATTATCCTCGGTTACTAGACATTTATCAAATATCCTAAGAGCAAATCTGTCTGAAACAAATGACGTTCTCAGGTAAAATTGATATTTTAATACATGCGCCTACGACTCTGCTTCAACAAGCAGAAATTGAGCGTTTTAGATGATATGGCCCTCAATGCAAAGGATTAGTGAGGATGATTGATTAGTTTTAGATTAGCCAGTAGTAAATTAACAACCTTTGAATCTACCAAATATATAAATACTCGGCAAAGGTAAAATAAGCTATTATTATTATAAGCTACACCGCGCTTCAAGTCGCAATCTCCATCTTTCAGCTTTGTAAATATTGATTACATTCATCAGAAAAGCATTTACCAGCCAGATCTAATTGAATCTCAGAACAACATTTTCTTGTCCAATTCATTGATTTTTGGTTTTTTGGACATCCTTCGACTTATTTTTGCCAGAATCGACTCTATAAAAGGCGTTGATCATCTCATACACCCTTAAGCTTTCCTGAAGTACTTTTTAAGGAGCATCCAATGGTGTTAATTATGAGAGGCGTTCTGAACAAGCTTATTGAATAATTCTAAAAAAATAAGAAATGAGGTTTTGGGCCAAAATGTAGAGATTTTACATATGAATGCCTCACAAACATAGTTTCAGGGGTTGCCTTGGATCGAGAGAAGCATTTTGAATTAATATATGCCATAGCAAAAGTCTTCATTTTGAAGGTGAAAAACGCGACCGTTTGATTTTCGATGAAAACCATGAGGTATTCCTCATGGTTTTGAGTCGATCTTTGACGATCCCAAAAAAAAATTGGGCAAAGGCCGCAGACAGTTACTGCTAGATGAGAGCAATTATTTGGTGCTATTCTGGAAGTCTTAAACGGCTTCTAACGCGAGAAATCACGACTCAAATGCATCCAAAGTTCGCTGCATTTTGCATTCTTTTGACTAGTAAAAGGAAATGCAAGTGTGATGTATGCCCGTGTATGAATTTTTCTCCTTGATACAGACTGCAGAAGAGCTATGCCTATACTTAGAGGTGGTTAGTAAAGTGCTCTCACATGATATGTTGCGAAAAGTCTAGGATGATAAAAAACGCATTGCTCGTTGACAATGTAAACTGTATAGAGTAAAGAGGGTTGAAGGTACTATCTATCTGTGTAGAGGGCACTTTGGTAGCCTAAATTATTACTGAAATCACATCAGCGCAGCAAATCAATTACACATTCAGTCAATTGGCGTTTACTTGCTTTAGGACTAGAGCGCTTTCATGGGCTGTACATCTACAAATTATCAGATCAAGAACTTTGACATGATGAATTGAAAGGGTAGGGGGGTAGCAACAGATAAATCCATAATAGGTTGGTTTGAGACTATAAACAGCGAGACATTAACAAGCAATGTAACTACATTTAGTGGCCTATGGCGCAAATCTGCAAGCAACGACCATATTGTATCAGTGTGCAGGGCAGAAATCGAACAGCGCATTTTGCTGTGTATATCAAAAGAACGACTGTGGAAATTAAGCATTTTCTTTTTCTTTCACGTCTCTTTGAGAATTACTACCAAATGACGGATTATACAAACCTTCGCAAGATTGTTACAGGCGATATTATTGTAAAATGTATAGTAGAGCAATACCCACATATGATTGTGCCTTTGATTAACGCTTACGAAACAGGTCGTTTTGGCAATGAGATACGTCGTATACCCATCAACGGCGTTCCAACCTATGACGAGTAAGTGTTTGTTATCTTGCAAAAAAGAGCATCTTGTTCTAAAAGATTGAGACAGACTGTGCTTGATGATGTATCGCGTATTCAAGCAGGATATAAAATCGTCTCAAGATATCTCACTGAAATATAAAGATGAAGGTAAAACTATAACAGTATGCATGATTTTCATCCTGAATGATTGATACCCAGCCCTCTTTTCATCGTATGTTATGTAGAAGGAGACATGATTAGTCTGTTGGGTATGTAGATTGCGCGAATAGAAGCATTCACAAATGAACTCATGCATTGCAAATAATAGATGATATTGATATCACACATGCTATCTCTATTAGCAACTTGCTCAGAATTACCGTTTATGATAAATCAGATCAGACCAAACAACAACCACAGCAGCAGCATCCAACAAATCCAGTTGAATTATCATCGTTGATGGACATTAGAGACAAACTGGATCTGTTGATTCAGTCATTGACTGCTGAGAAGAAGGAAGGAGAGAAGGCCAAGGAGGAACAGGGCAAGAAGATGCATCGTCTGACTCCTGCTGAATTAGGTAAAAAGGGTATTTAGATATGCACTCTAACAAAAGCACTAACTCATCAGGGAAAAATAGCTTCCTTCTTGTCGAATGATACAGAAAACAAACAAGCATCTTCTGTGACAGAGCTTACCAGCTTGTCTCCAAAAGCACCTTCTTCTGGAACAATTCCATACTATCCTCCTCCTAGCAATGCTACTACTACTTCATCTGCAATGCCAACGCCGAATGTTGCTGCAACAAATCAGCCACAAGCTATCCCTCAACCACAACAGCAGCAACAGCCTCAGGTACAACTACATCAGCAACAACAGCCATCCCATCCTTCATCCCAACCACAAATGCATTCTTCATATATCCAAACGCCTCCACCAGTCAGCCAAAAGCCAGCATCTCAACAGCAACAACCAAGACCTCCACAAGCCCAACACTCTTTTGGCCATGCAAATCAAAGCAGCAATGTGTTCATTCCGTATTATCCACCTCCTCCCAAAAATGAGATGAGACCTCCTCCTCAGCAACCACCACAACAGCAACAGCAACAGCAACAGCAACAGCAACCACCATCTCAACAGCGACAAGGTTATTTTGTCCCTCCACCGCCTTCTTCTATGAATACACCTCAACTGCCTCCACAACCGTTTCGTCCCCCTCAACATTGGTAATATGTAATAAACTTACGATGCAGTGAATAAAACCTGGTTATTTGTCCATTTCTACTGTCAGTTGCCATCAAGTGAGAGAGTTTTTCATTTATTGAGTATTCTTCAAATAGACAGGAATGCCATAAACAACGGGAGCAGCACCTATTAAATAGCCTAGTTTGCACTGATTTCTGGACTCACTGACTGCTTGCACGAGTGATTTGGGTGTTTCACTTGATTTCTTTTTGAGCATTCCCCACGAATGTAACATGTATTTGGTCAGCTTATCAATGCTTCTATCCGTTACATCCCACAGGTTCGCCACAACAGCAGGACTTCCAGCAAGTAAATAGTTGAGCACGTAGCCATTGAGATCAAATTCACCATGCGCTTCCATGATACCACTACTACAACCCATCAAGAGAGAAACAGCACAGTTTGGCAATTGTCTCACTGTGGTACCTCGCATGAAAGCCTGTCCAGCACTATGACCAAAATACATGTAAATATCCCTTGATTGTAAAGCGTCTTTGCATTGCATTTCCAGTGGCATGGACTCGATGATACCATCCCATTCAGGCACGTCTTTGAAGATGGGTTCGAATTCCTTTTGCGTGTCTTTCAAGTCGCCTCCAGGATTCAGCACATAAAAGGCACTGCGCTTGGAGACTGTGAGATCTGTCCATTCGTTGGTTGCTGTCAGGCCGAAATCATCATACGCTTCTTTTGAATTGTGGAATTGTGTGTACAGAATGCGGTCTCTGAGAAAAGAGAGACATGGCAATCGAGAGGCAGACTGTGGGCGAAGCACAGGCATGGATTCCAGCGGGAACATTTGCAAATGCTTGTCCAGAATCAAGATAACGTGGTCGTTGGGTATATTTTTGGTCGAGTCGACGCCTGCCATGACGGATCTTTCATGATAGCGAGTGATCAAAAGTCGAATGTGTTCAGTCAGCTAGTAACAAAAAAAAAAGAGACTCAGTATAGATGGTCCTGAACAAGAGCTATTAATGATGTTTACCTTTTTGAAATCAATCTTGGTATAGTCAATCTGGATATTCTGGGCTTCGTAGCACGACAGAGCAAAGTAAGAAACATCTTCTAAATCGCGTTGAGCAGGATGTCGACCCAGACGCACGACAACACGACAGAAGGCCAAGCTTAATTCCACCTTGAGCTTGGTTGCAGTGACACTATTGACTGTCTTGAAAGTAATCTCGTTCATGGCCTTTTGGAATTTCACTAGCTCCTCCCTGTACTCTTGACAGCGCCCAGTCAAAAGACCTTTAAATCCACTGAACCATTGACTCTCCATAGTGTCCAATAGCTTCTTTAACCTGGCATCGAGATTTTTACGCTTGCTCCACCAGGCTTCGATTTCACCTGCATGATTGCAATTGGCGCTATCGGCAATGGTCTCATCACTGCCTTGGATGATGGCCCTCAGTTCTTTTACAGCATCAGCGTACTGCACCGTATCATAGGAAGCTGCCGATTCATTAGCAGGACGTTGACTGGCACGACCCAAGGGTAACTTGACGGCAAACGGCGGCTCTCTTGCTTTCAATTGAACAGCATACAGGTCACCATGAACAACATCTAAACTGAGCGAACAGACAGTCCAATGACTGGGCAAGATATCAACAAATTTGGCTTGAAATGAAGTGTCGTCCAGCTCGGATTCCTCCTGATAGAGATCTTGCAGTGTTTTGAGATGTCCTTGAAGCCAACCGGGATTACGAGACATTCTAGCAAGTCGATCATAATAAGTTTGCTTTTCTTTTGTATTCATGGGCGGCCATTCCTTGTCACTGGGAGCATGTCCAGCAAAAGTCTGGTTGAGCTTGATACCAAGACAGTACTGCATTTCACGGCGCATATTAATGCCATGGGCCATAGACATGTAGTAGGTACTTTGCAACGAGTTGTCACTGGTTGTCATGCGGTTGTTGATGGACAGTTGCTGGTTCAATAGGGTTGCATAGCTTGTTTCTCTGCAAAGTTGCTCCATGGTGATTGGGCGCTCTCGGATCCAGCCGTTGCGGTACGCTTCATTCATGTGGTTCATTGACTGACCCAAGGCATCTCGCATGGCACGAAGTTCATGGTCCATTGTAGGCTTCTTTATCAAACTACCACGGGATACCTGTGTTTTCATTGCGGGGGACACGACAGCTTCATTAAAAAGGAGTCTTTCTTCAGGACGCATGGTACAGTCTTGACGTATCATACGTAGTCGTAAATGGCCTACGGTAGCGATCAGTTCAATTTCGTTTGAGGCGCTCAGTGTTGTCACATCAAATGAATCCAGCAGTGCCAATGCGTCTTGGATGTTGCCTTCGTCAGCCAGTGCCACAGCTAATCTAGAATATGAGAGAGGTGTCTCTTGGTATTTTATATGATCTCACCTTTGCAGATTTCATACGAGATGATGGATTGCTGAAGTGGGTAACACTCATACATATCGGCATCTATCATAAAAAAAAAAAAAAAAAAAAAAAAAAAAAAAAAAGTGGTGTAAGTTGTATGTATAGCACGACACTTGGGTATCGTACCATTCGCCTCGTCAGCAAAGGCCACTTTATCTCTGGTACCACGCTCTTGGTTGGCATCAATCAACCTCTCCAAAGCAGCAATCTCTTGTTTGTCAGACAGCTGCAGCAGGTGCTCATTGGCTTCGTCGTAAGATTGCACTGCTATTTCAAACAAGGCATTGGCCACGGCCAGGTTTGCCAAAGCCACTTTGTATTTCACTTGAGCTAGACCACCCACAGGCTCCTTGTAACGCACGGCAATCTCCATCTCATCCTGCGACTTTTCTCTATCCCCACATCTCAAGTAAAACGCACTAGCTTCCAAATGAGCATCAAACAACATGGCAGACGAATTCACCTTTTCAGCCAACAAGGGTGCTTGTTTGACAAAGTACTTGGCTTCGTTGGGAGAACCCTTTTTGACCAGTAATTGAGCCAGTGTGTGTAAGCTGCTGCTAATCTTTTGCGCCATGGTCCATTGAGCTTCACGAAAAACAATCTTGCGGGCTTCCTGTTGTTCGGGTGGAGGTGAATTGAAGGGATCTTCCAGCTCTGTCTTTTGCTTCTGTTGCTCTTTCTCTTGTGATTTCTGTACGATTTGGATGCACTTGTTGAGGAGTTGAAGGGAGGCTGTGGCACTGTCAATGGCCGAGTCAATGTCCTCTGTGTTGGCTTGTATCAGCGAGAGTGTCGAGTAAACGTCTGCTAGAAGCATGCAGCGCGTCGTGTATGTTTTGACTGTAGTGAGAGGATCTCGTTGATCCACAGCAGGCGTATTCTGCCATACAAACTTGGCGGATGCAAAGACTTCCATGCTGCAACGCGTTCTGTAAGTCTTTTGTCAACTTGTCATGTCACACACTCTCTTACCTTGTATCGAAATCGCCAATGCACGCCAGATAATACGCATAATTGACAAGATACACTAGCTCGGCATGGTTGTTACATGGCTTGCTTGACACTGCCTTTTTAGCGTGCATAAATTCGATGGCTGCTTTGCCTGTGTACCCCAGATCACAGTACAACTTGCCAATGGTGGCACTGAGCACGATAGACTCTGAAATATGATCCACTTGAGTGTCTCGTAGCCCGTTGTTTAGTTTTAGCAGCATTCGCAGCGCACAAATTTGGTGAATACGCTCTCCCGTGATGCTGAACAAGTCTGCTAGCATGCGCATATGATCGTAAAATTGGTCCAAATCATCAATTTCATCATACACCTGTTTGATGTCCAGTTTCGACGAGTCGCCCGAGTAGTAGATGGGCGTGATCTTCTTGAGCAAGATACCCCATTGTTGCAATGTGGATGTGAATGTGTGGCTAGACGGCGGCTCCTTTAGTTCTCGACTACAGAGGGCCATCCATGAATTGGAGAGTGCGAGGTAGTGGCGACGGTAGTTCAGTAAGTTGGTATCCTGGGCATAGTCCTGTACCTTGAGCAGACTACTGGCTTCTTTGGCGCAGGCTAGTGCTGCTCTTGTGCATTGATCTTTATCACTGGGCTTGTTTCTCTCAATCTTGACTTGGCTCAACAGCACTCTGTTACAGCAGCGGATGAGCACTTGTGTATGTGTGTCATACTCTCTCGTTTCTTACCTTGCTCTGCGAAGAGGGAAATTCTCAGCGTCGTACACTTGCAGCAGTCTTTCCATGATAAACAACTCATACTTGTACAGCTTCATCTTGACAGAGAGCGCATGCCACACCTTGAGCTCACACTCGTAAATAAAGCACTTTTGAATCGAATTGATGGTGGACAAGTTGATGTGTTCGCTAGCAAAGTGGATGCTCTCTTGGTCCGGATCAATCACAGAGGCTCTCAGAAACCGATCTATCAGTTTGGGTATCAGCGTGTCTTGCTCCATCACAGTTGACACGGCTGTTGTATCTGCTTTGCTGACAAACTTTTCTATTTCAGACATTGGGATACGCTTTAGTGCAAGTCGAAACGCTGAAATGGCATCTTCAAAGCGCTTTGTTTTCTGACAGCAAATGCCCAGCACTTCATATCGTTTGCACAGCTGCAATCGTCCTTCGTTTGTATTGGCTCTTTCGCTGTCCTTTTCCAGCAGCGAACTTGCTTTACGTATAGGAAAGACGGCTTCTGTGTACATCTCTGTCTTGATCATGGCAGTACCCAGATTGTAGTAAGACCCTGATAGCCAGCGATAGCCAGACGTATACTTTTTATCAGCACACATCTCTTCTGCGTTGGTGAGGTAGTCGTACGCTTGAGCATAGCTGTCTTGGTCCTTGATGTTGAATTGCATGCGTGCTAGCAAGACCATAATGTCGATATAGGAGATCATGATATCCTCCTGTGTGGTGCTTCGTTTGGCATCAGACGCTGCTTTGGCAAGGCAAATCGTTGTGCTCAGTGTTTCGCTGCATTGCTGAAGTGCGTTCTTGATGTGAGCTACAATTGAGTTCCATTGGCCAAAATCACTGGGTGTAACGAGGTCTTCTTGACGAGGTGGTGTCTTGAAGGGCTCGTTTTTGCGTTGAATCAAGGCTTGCTTTGTCTTGTCAGAAATATGTTCGAATAGACGTTTGCAGCTGAGACGGAATCCTTCAATGCTTTTGCAGAGATTGTACAGCGCCTGCTCCAGATGTTGGTCTTGAGGCTGATCTGTTGAGGTGGTGATTAATCCAAGGCATGCAATCGACTCGTTCAGTGTGGTAGTGATATCGGCAAATGTGTCATTGAGGACCATTTTATCCATCTGGACTGATCCTAGCGCTAGCTTTGCATTGGCAGCATAAGCAGCATAGTAAAAGCTACACGATGATTTGCTCTCTATAATGTCGCGCAGTGGTCGGATCATGTACTTGTAGGCGTAGAAGGCACCCTTGTAGCTCTTGGCCTTTCGAGATACGTAAGCAGCGTATTCACATAGCACGAAATACGAATCCATCTCTGCTAAATTGTTAACATTGGGTTGAAATTGTTCCAAAAAGCCGTTGCAGCATTTTTCAAGATGACTGTAGGAGGCTATTTCGTTGTTTAGTCGCGCAGGATCTATGCCTCACAGCCATCCAACTTACTCTGCTTTGTTGATTTCTCGTAGGTAATGCCAATTCGCACCAAGCGGTCCAACACTAACTTCAAGGGCACAGATCCCGATGTAGCCAGTGCCTTCAATGCAATGTTTTGAATGCTGTGTGAATGAAGGGCAGCCTCCTCTGCGATACATCATCAGACTACTTGTGCATGGTATCGCAATCGCTTTAACTCACCTGTCAATGGAAACTTGTTGGCAACCTTGTAAAGTAGTCTCTGTAGCGTATCCAATTGCTTTTTGGCTGTTGTAGCATCGACATTGAGTAGCTGCACGCACCAGTCAAAGAAGTTGCCAGACTTCTCCATAAAGTAAGGTATGTACTTGAAGGGTTGTCAGTACCCGGACACTATGCCTTCCCGTCCCTCTTACCTTGGCTAATGCGCCGTCCTGTAACTCGCACCAACATCGAATGGCGTTCATTTGATATGCCAGAATCAGCAGGATCATGGTGCGATCATTGATGTTGGGTTTGATAGGGAATTGGAACAGATCTGCATACTTGTTCAGGATATCGTCCTCCCATTGATTTGTGATGATAGGTTCAGATGCTGCTGTAGTAGCGGCTCGAGTGCTGGATGAAGGCTGTTTGTTGAATGATTCTGTCAGGACGCCTTTCATGGGCTGCGTTGTTGTTGCTGTTGAGGATGATTTGCCTGTTGATGCCTTGGATGCACCGCTGGTTAATTCGACTTTGGCTACGCTGGCTAGTACTAAGCGAAACTTGAGCAGTTCATCTAGAGCTCGGTTATACTCTCCCAAATCCACCATTTTGCCTATTAGATTTGAGGTTGTTTTCTCAATGTCCAAGGGCTTCAGAGCAGTGAATGTGTTCATGTGTCGTAGTGCGGATAGAGCATAGAAGGATGTGTCAACGAGGCAATTCACTGCCACTGTGTAGTTGGAGGTTTTTGCGCTCTTGAGGCCGATAAGCGCTTCAATGTTTTGATTGACGATGCGCATTGCCACAGGCGCTAATTGAGTGGCCATCTGCTTGAAGCGAGCAGGTGTTGGTGGTGGTTTACGTATGCTGTCAGGTCGTGATACATCCACTTGGAATGGTTCTAGTACAGTTCTTCGAATGTGAACGGCGAGATCATCGTTGCAAGTGGCGTAATCTTTGAGCTGTATTAACAATCCTGATGCCAAATCAGTCATGTCTTGTATGCGTATTGGTATGAATGAAAATTAGGAAAAGAAGCAAGTTTTCGTGACGAGGTTAAAATACATTGCTCTTTAAAAGTGTCCTGCAAAGAGGGCACGTCGCATCCTTAAATTGGCAGGTGGAATCAGCCATAGCGCGCTTGTTCTTTCTCGAACTCTTTAAGCAACTTGAGAGGATGCAAACACCACCAGCCATCACAGACTCACCTTCCTTGTCCATATCCAACAAGCCCAACAAACCGCTGGCCCACAAGCTGAGCAAAGTACTCAACTCGTCTGCCTCAGAGGATGCCAGAATAAAGGCAGCGCTGGCCTCGCTATCCAACATACCTGACTTAGACGAGACGAACCTAGGACGCAACTTACGAGGCACGATTGAAAAGAAAGAGATTGAAACCAACCGCAAGTTTCTGTTTGCATTTGAAAAAGTAGTCAAGGTAATCTGATGAAGGATTTGAGCGAGATTTGATGAGATATGCTGAAACGCATATTTGGTAGCAATTCGAATGCTTGGAAACACAGATGGGACAGATGGAGAGCGTATGCAAAGACATGAAACAGCGTATTGTCAAGGCAGAATTACTGACAGCAGATATGATTGAACAAGCTAATATTATGCAAGAGCACAGGTAACCATGGCAACAGGATAGAGTGGGGGACCTGAATGATTGACCTGTGAATGCAGTGATGCTTGTTCAACGCAGATTGCCGTGGTGGACAGATTTCTAGCTAAATTCACCTTGAGCGAACAAGAGATCAAGATACTCAGCAACATGTCAGAGCCTGTGGATGAGGAGTTTTTCGATGCACTGCAGCATTTACAGCAAATCCATAGCGACTGTCAGCTACTGTTGACTACAAAGAACCAAACAGCTGGGTAAGGTTGATGCCAAATAAAGGTGGAGAGTCGATTCTCATACTTGTTTAGTCGAGATATTATGGAGTCAATGGCACTTTATCAGGAAAACGCTTACGGCAAGCTAAACAAATGGACTCAGTACGAGAGCAGAACATGTTTTGGTGGCGATAGCATTGACGTGAGCTCGCTGATGACAAAAGCACTGAGAGCACTAATGCTTCGACCCGTGCTATTTCAGTGAGTATAATGCCCTGGGATAAAAAGTAACATAAGGTGTCTAAACTCGATGTAGAACTATATTGGATCAAATCGCATCAGCTCGACATGATGCAGTAGCAAGAGCCTTTCTAAACGCACTTACAAAAGGCGGTCCAGGAGGCACACCTCGCCCGATAGAACTTCAGGCACCAGATCCGCTACGATACATTGGAGACATGTTGGCATGGGTGCATCAGACATGTGCATCAGAAAAGGAGATGCTGGAGAGCTTGTTTCAGCGCAACGTAGAGAAATATGAGGATGTCAGCGGTATCACAGTCAAAGTGTCTGATACAATCAGCGACCTGTTGGATTGCGCTATGGAAGGCACTTGTAGACCGCTGAAATCTCGCATGGAGCAAGTGCTTGTACTACAGCCTGGCGCTATTACATCCTACAAAGTGGCAAACTTGATACAATTCTATACAATGACATTGAGCAAACTGATGAGAAAGAATACGACGCTGGAAAGAATTTTATATGAGTAGAGTACACGGCTTCGTCATGAGGGTAAATCGGTTTGGCTAATATATATGTGTGTATGAATAGAATGACTGAGCTCGCGTACAAGTACTTTTTCAAGACATTGAATGCCCAAGCAGATAGATTAATGCAATCCACAGAGGTATGATTAGCTGTTTAGAGAGAAGCATGATAATATCTAACATTACACATTGTAGGCACCAAATAGAAGTTTATCCATTGCGCCTACAGTACGAGACATGACGACTCAGCTAGTATGTATGCCATTTCATTCCATGTGAGGATGCTGTATTCAACCCCTATCCAATGTAGAAAGAAATCCTAGCGTCGTATGATTCATCCTTGATAGTTGCAACAAACAGCACTGAAGGTTTCCCTGAATTTGACTTTTCAGAGACACTGGATGCTATTATAGAGCCACTTTTAAACACTTGTGAACTATCCGTCGCCAAGCTCAGCAAGATAGATCAAGACATTTACATGGTGAATTGCTTGTATCATATCCAGACTGCCATGATGCCATACGAATTTACACAACAAAAGCGAGACAATGTCATTGCACGCATGAATGATTTGTTAGACGATATGGCCCAAGAAGAGTACAACAAACTGATAGAGCAAGCAGGACTAACTCAAATCAAGGACACCTTGGCGACGAAAAATGCAGAGGTAAGTATCAACTTGAATAGGTCTATGAAGAGGTTGACTAAACAAGCTGCTGCATAGACACCGCTGTCAACATTACCTCACATGGATGCAGACTCACTTGCTCAAGCCATGTCGAAATTCGACTCTTTCCTTGTATTGACTAGCGCCGATGTATCGCCACAATTAGAGAAACTGTCATCAAGACAGCATTGTCAGCAAGTCCAATCAGGCGCCATTCGACTGCTGCTGGATACCTACCGTGATATTAGTAAAGCCATTGAGGATCCAAGCAACGGGTACGAACACCCTGATCTTATACTGCCACGAACGGTGGAGGATATGGAAGCTATTTTTTCATTTGCATTGTAATAAATAGCAGGTTCAAAAGAAAATGAAATAAGTGTTTATCCATTCAGGTGTTTATATCACAAGTATATCAATTAAGTGTACTAAAGAACTGGGAATGAGACAGCAGCAAGAAATGAGGCGTCATTAGAGTCTCGAGACTAGGGGTATTCTGAAGCACGAGCCAACTTGGAGGTGCCATTTGGTGTAGAAGGCACGGAAACCCTCTCCTCTTCGCCATCTTGTGATGCACTTACAGGCAAGGCAGGTGATACGAGGTTTTGGTCCCGCCAAACTCGTGGTACAGACTTGAACCCATTGAGTGTGCTTTTGAACCACGCCTTTAAACCTAAACGCTGCATAGATAGCAAAGCAGCTGAAACAAGACCAGCACAGAAGCCAATACCATCATTTGAATAGGCTACCAAGCAACCAGTTGTCAGCAGCATCACAGTAAAGTTCTCTCTTTTTCTATACTCATCATCCGTCAAATTGTTGACAGATCTAGCAGCACAACCCAGCTCAATGCCTGAGATGAATAGCATGACAGCAAGAATCGATGTTGGAAACACTTGCAGCAATCCTATGAGCGATCCACCAAAAAGAATACCCAAGAATAATTTGCAGGCACCTAAAAGAATGACAGATACTTCGGACCGAGCGCCAAAACGGTATTGACCAGCAAGACCACCAGAGCCATGACACACAGGCATAGCGCCAAACCAACATCCGATCAAATTCATGATTCCCACGCTCACAGCAACTTGAGACGTCTTTGCATGATGATCTGGGAACAACTCATCGATGAGGGCGCATAGTGCAATGACCGAGTTTAGTGTAGTGAGCGGCAACTGACCAAGACCAGCATTCAGGAACCCGCTTTTAAACTCTTCTGGTGAGGGCACAATGATGGTATCGGGATAATGACCTCCTCCTACGCTAGGATGAGGCACATCCTTGCCTTCCGCAAACATGAGTACAAGAGCAAAGATCAAGCCAATCAAGAACAAGATCAAAGCAGATGGGACCTTTGTTCTGTAGCAAGCGACTACAAAGAGAAAGCTCAGGAGAACCCAAGTATTGTTATCAGACCAATTCGCAGCCGTTATTTTCCATTGTAGCTTGGGTATCAAATTGTGTGCCTTGATGATCAATTGTACAGCAGTGCCTAGTTGTAGTCCTACATGAAGTCAAGTGTTACAAGATGGTGTCATATGGCGATGATGATTCAGCGAGTATATACCCTTGATGATTGCAGGAGGAGTAAATGTGCCAACAAGATGTACTGTGCGTGTGATGCCGAGAAACGTGATAAAGGTAGCAACGCTGAGGCCAGCTGCCATGTTTTCTTGGATGGACATGTTTTTCGTCAGGACCACAGCTGCGATGGCTATCATTGAATCACGTGTGAATACGCTTATCAGGTCCTGGTTGTCTCTCTTACTTTACCTTTCATCGGTTGGACACATACAGGCACTTGGAACATGACGCCTGACAGGATATTCCATATACCTGTAAACCAGAGTGTACTTGTCAAGTTGATCTGGCCCGAGATGGCCAGAGACATCATAATTGGTAGCAGCGTGCCTAGATCACCCAAACTGCCAGAGATCTACATGAATGTGATCAGCCTACTTGAACTCAACTTGTTGTCCAGACAATACCTCATGTAGGGTCAAATGCTTCTTGAAGCGATGCAGCGGCTCCTTGATATATTGCATATGTGTTGATTTCAAGTGAATCAAGATGGAAAAAAAAAAGAAAATCAATGCCACCTCAATTTATATCTGATCATTATTTACAGAAAAAAAAATATAAAAGACTGTTCTTTTCTGCATCTGCTACACAGACATAAGACTTCCCTTGCTTGGCTACACAAAGAGATTGTAACAAACCAAGATCAAATATGAAAAAAAAAAAGATAGCAAAAAGGAATAATATGCCTTATTAAATCAAACAGGATTTATCTATACAACAAAGATACCATAAAAGGTAAAAAACAAACGATAAGCTAGATTTACATCATTGGTGGTGGGGGTGGACGAGAATCATCCATCTGACTTGGTTTTCTCTTCCAGATAACTTCCAACTTTTCTCTCTCAGATAACAATCTTTCCATGGTAGCTTCCCATTTCTCAATTTCCTTATCTTCGACATTACCACCCATTTCTAGCAAGCTCAGTTCAGGCACTCCCTTGTTGAGCAAAATGTGTACAATAGCCTCCACGTCTTGATGGATAATGCCATTGCACCCAATGTCTAATCGACGAATCTTGCTTGACAAAAGATCTGGCAATGCACTGGGATCTGATCCGAATCCGCTCACAGTGTTACTGAATAATCCAAGATAGTCCAACTGGGTATCTAACAGGGCTCCGAATCCCTTGGCACTGATTCTGTTTTCACCCAACTCCAAATGGTGTAATCCATCAATAGCACCCGCTAAGGCCAATGCTGCTTCATCGTCGAGACGGTTTTGGCGTAATTTGAGTTCCAAAAGACCACTCTTCGCTAGGTTGCCAACCAAATGGTTCAATGAGCTTGATTCGATTGCATTGTTATCCAACCAAAGATGGGTTAAAGTAGTGTTGATGTCGAGTGCTTGTCCAATAGACTCTGCCAATGCGTTACCATGTAAAGAACGAGTTTGATCTGCATTCTTCTTCTTCTTTTGCTCTTCTTCGTCCTCTAATTTACCACCCTCCATGCCATCACCCAAGGCGGGAGGAGGCAAAGTGGTCAAGTCTTGTTCATTACTGACTACATCCACCATCTTGAGTACACGCAAATGATGATTATTCTTCAAAGCAGCTGCCAGTGCACTGGCACCGTCCAACAACGGATTGTCAGAGAGTTCCAATTCCTGCACTTGGCTCAGAGGAGCTAATACTTGTTTGGCAATGACCTTGGCACCGGCAGCGCCAATGTTGTTGATGGCCAAATTGATCTTTTTCAATCCTGTCAAAGAAGGAGCCAAAATTTCCACAGCTTCGTTGTCCAACTCATTGCGAGATACATTCAATTCTTCAAGATGTTTGTTCTTTGCTAGTGCTTCGGCCAACAGATGAACCGTAGTATGCTTGAGTCCTTTGTTTTCCAAATCGAGCTTTCGTAGACCTTCATTCGCAGCCAAGCCCTCGCAAAATAACCCAAACACATCAGTGTCTAAACCAAAGCTGGTATTTCCGAGATTGAGTGTGCGTAAAGTGTCATTTAGTGTCAATGATTCACTGAGTTGGTCCATACATGTGGCATCGAGAGCATGGCCCGAAACGTAAAGATCGCGCAAGGTGGTATTGGCACTGATAGCGCGAAAGATACGGCCAAGTTCTGCTGCGGAAATACGGCGAAAGCTGAGAATGTGTAATGAGACTAGCTTTGGATCGTTCTCTTCGAGCTGCTTAACCCATCGATCTACAGCTCCGTCGTTGCCTCCCCAGACCATGTTGTAATTGTGTGAAAAGCAAAAAGATAAGAATGAAGAAAAGTGAAGAATTTTTTTTAACTCATTTAACTTTGTACGGAGATCGGATTTGTGTAAGAGAAAAAAAATCTCGGATTGACATGTTGCATGCATTAAAATGTTACAATCAATGGTAGTCGTAGTTTGCATATTTTTGGTCATTTCTTGGATTAGAAATTGGAATCAACACGAAAGAGAAAGTACAGTTATAATTTCTATTAATACTCCAGAGCATGTTGGATTCTAATCCTTGGATTGTTAGAAGCACTGATTTCTGTAGAAACGCACTGCCTACCAAGAAAGCCAATTGCCACTTGCTTATCCGTACTCTCTTGTTACAAGTAGACTGTAGTGCCATTTTAGTGCAAAAACCAAAATTTCCGGATGGGTTTCCATTTCTTTGATGAACCAAACACCCCTCTTGGTAAATACTGCATCTTAAGTTACCGGCTCGAATATTCTGCTCTCTCTCTCTCTATTTGTCCCGGATACACATGAAAATTACTCCATCGTTTTAATAAAGATGCAAGTTAATTATTAAGGCAGACTTCAAGTTTAGTGATTTCATAAGACACCGTCAGACCTTTTGATAGATCGTCGTGAACAGCAGGCAATATATAATTCGGAATAAAGTACTTTTTTGATACTGTCTTCCTGCCTATAATATCGCTATCGTTGGCATTTTATTCTCCTGAATCACTCTTGTTATAAAACAGGGCAACCAACGACAGAGTTAAATTTTCTTGCTTACAAAACTCCAGGATAACCTCAATAAGTCTTCAGTATTATTTCGGAAGTATTGTATTCAACAAGGACTGTAACAGAGTAATGAGTTTTTTTTTTTTTTATAAAAACCCGTTAATTACGAGCGATTACGAGTAATAGATCGATAGATGAGCGTTTTATTTAAAACCGCTCGATGAAAACCTGCCTTGTTATCATATGGCAACGGTCAAATGTTTGCTGCGTATTTTACAAAGCAAGATATCACTTGGCAGTTTTGAATCCAGTGTTACAGGCGAGTCGGTAGTAACGTGTATAGTTTCGAAAAAAGAGTCTGAAGAGATAGTAAATTAGCCAAAGCAGATCTAACTATCAAATGAACACCAGCCTTTTTATAATTGTCCAACCAGAATAAACAAATATACAAAAGATGAGGGTTGAAAATAGAAAGTAATATAGATATATATAATAGAGTATACAATGAATTGATTATAATACGATGGAAAATGTTATATATAAAGAATTCAAGCGATCTTACAGATGACAGATGTATGGTATAAGAAAATAACAGCTAATGAGATTTTTAAAAGATATGTATTGGAGTATTGGATGGTCATACCTCAAAACTGGAAACGCCTTTATGCAATCAGAATTTGGTATGGGCCAAAAAAAAATATAACAACCCATAAGATTGGAACATGTTGGAAATCAATGATAAACGACGCATGTTAGGCAGAGCATGTGGTACTGGGAGAAACTGCTATTTAATGTACTGCTGTACCTATATGAGTGTCTCAACATAATAAAGTTAAAATGCATTCCTCACATGAAACTGTTTAATGCATGGATGCTAAATCAAATGATTGCACCTTATTGTTGCATGCAAGCATGCATCCTAAACCCCATTCAGTTTCTTCTCAAACCACTTTCACAATATAGCAACATAGATCATGATGCTTGTAGTATCACATCGCGTCTATGTTTACAACAAGTCCAGTCGGTTGTGTGTTCAAGGAGGATGCCTCAGAAACTACAATAGAATTGATTTCTCCAATGTCAAGATGTCGAGATCCACCTACGATATATGAAACATATCGACTTGGGCGATCTCTCAATTAGCTATACCAACAATCATTATGATTCTAGAGGTCTGCTATTTGTAAGTACAGTGCATCATCTCAGCGTAGTAGTCATTGGTCAGAGATCTATCATCGTATTCAAGCTCGCTAGTGAGATGCCCTGTTGTAATGAAGAAGCTCTTTGCTTTCGTTTTACATAATACAGTTCATAACTAATTATTTCGTCGAATTTATTATTATAAAATTATCACTTTTCTTACTTTTAAATAAAGAAGGATTTAGGCTGTATCTGTTTCGTTATTACCCCTTTATTAAAAACAGGAAATTATAAGATGTCAGATCAATAAAAAATCAACTAGTTATAATCCTTCTGTGCTTCAGTCCCTGAGCCAAACAAATCGCTTGAAAACTCCGCTGACCTAAAAAAAATTTGCGAGGGCTTCCCCTGCTCTGATGTGAAGCAGAATTTTAAGTTCCGCTATATATAGCAATATAACTGTTGCTATCATCAAATTTCCCCCAGGTGCTAGAGCATGCCTTACTACACCACTTAGCTTTAGATTCTGGCATTGAGGCTCTCAATCATCACCAAAATAAGTAGCGATAACCAAGTGGAGGCGGCCTATCTACCTCCTAGCCTCGGATAAAGTCTTGTTGAGCTTCAGGGATAGGCACATCTGCAGTGAAATCAGGTTTGAATAGATTTCACAAAAAAAATAAAGCAATAGTAAAATACAATAGAAATCAACTGTATTTTATTTTGTGTATAAAATGAACTGAAGATCCTGGAATTGAGTAAAAAAAAGAAGAGTATTTATACATTTGCATCTGGCTTGTAGGATTAGTGATGATAGAGAGCAATAGGTGCTGCTATTGCGATATCTGGCAAATGTTGTTGACGTTTGATTTAAAGTGGTAATCAATGCAAGAGCACTGGCCATAAGGGTCGATTTGAGTAACCTTGATGGGCTTGGGTGAGCTATCGTCATAGCATGGTTTAATGTAATTTTGATGGTTTAAAGTGTGATGTTTGTTATTGAAGTATGGAACTTGTGAAATTTGAGGCTTTATAGACTAAAATTCATGGAAAAAAAAGCATAAAAAAACAGTAAAGTCAACTTGATAAAGGTATGTTTTATTATCAAACTGACAGGTGTAAAGCAAACTGAAGTTTCTCTACTGGCCAGGTAGATGATCCTTCTTATATACTATAGCAATGGATAAAAGTTCTGTTAATTAGATTGACAAATACTGTAAATAACTAAAATCATACAAATAAATATATCAGTAAATTATCAGTTTATCATTCTGTGCAAAATTAAGACAATCCTTTATTGAATGAATTGTGTGGTCCCATTTATATCTTTGTGAATAATGTCAAATCCTGAGGTGTAAAGTCAAGTGTGATGATCCAGTAGATTGTCGTAAATGATATGTGTAAATAATCTACAGTTAAGTGTAATTGTAACCGCTCTTGTATGTCATTGAATTAAATGGTATTGTTTCAGTAATAGTCATCCTACTAGTTGACTATTTGATGGGTCTTGATGTGCGTATAGACTATAGTTTGATGTGCGTTTAGTAGTGTATGTTGTAATGAAATAGCCACCCAAACGCAACTTAATTGAAAACCAAAGTTCATCAAATAGCACTCATTCAAATTCATGCTATTTGGATCTATTAATGAAAGCGCTCAAATGTACATCAAAAACCCATTTAAAAATACTAAAGTAAAGATACACGCTTATATCGCACATCGTGTGAATGAATCACTCCTGATCACAGTGTATTCAATCACACCCATGATGGTCGTAATAGGTGATGGTATCTTTATCCAAATAGAATTAAATCAATAACAAGCATATTCAAATATGACAACTATGCCCTGCTGCCATAGTTGCACAATATCCCAGATAAAGGATTCCATGCTTCAATAACAAACATCACACTTTAAACCATCAAGGTTACATTAAATCATGCTATGACGATAGCTCACCCAAGCCCATCAAGGTTACTCAAATCGACCCTTATGGCCAGTGCTCCTGCATTGACTACCACTTTAAATCAAACATCAACAACATTTGCCAGATATCGCAATAGCAGCACCTATTGCTCTCTATCATCACTAATCCTACAAGCCAGATGCAAATGTATAAATACTCTTCTTTTTTTTACTCAATTCCAGGATCTTCAGTTCATTTTATACACAAAATAAAATACAGTTGATTTCTATTGTATTTTACTATTGCTTTATTTTTTTTGTGAAATCTATTTAAACCTGATTTCACTGCATATGTAAAAACCGATGAGATGTTGATGTGTTGTATTAGGTGTAATATAATGGATTATGGTGTGAAATGCATCAAATGAAAATAAGAAACCAAATTTATTGCTTTATTATGGCTTTTCACGTTTGCTTCCTTAGGGTTATTATACCTGTCTAAGGTCAAGGTTAGCAAATGTTGCCTTGACACCACAAATCACTTAATCCACAGTTAAGTATAGCAGGTATAACATCATTAAAATTAGATGCAGTGTGTTCTTGGGACAAGGGCTTGCAGTCTCTAACTTGCTACTACGACGCTTTTATGTTCAAGGCTTCCAGTATTTATTACTTGCCCATTCATCTCGCTACGCTCGATGTCGGCGTCGCCCTGCGGGCTCTCATCGAAGCCGTTTTAAATCAGACATTATAACATTTTGGTATATCAAGTAGATTTTAAACAATTTATTATTAGTTAGTAACAGAAAGGTTGTATCAGAGCCAGGAGGAGGAGAGGAGGTATCTCCCTTAGCACCCTTTTTGCTTACGTTGATATTAGACAAAGCCTATTATTGGGACAATGCGAAAGAAATTCAAATTTTATGCAGTATTTGTATATCACAAATGCCATTTTTTGATAATAGAATTGTCATATCATTCACTGCTGCTGATGCTCTTAATAAGATGGCGACATAAAGCTGGTCATAAGTAAATAAAGGACTTGTGTAAGATCTACAGCGACTTTTTTGAGATGTTGACATTGCAAAAGGCTCGCTTGTAACAAAAGCACCCAAAAAAGTATTTGGGTTAAGCAATTACCCTTTCAATTCCATGATCCCCAATTAATCAACATCGCAATCATCATTATCATCAACAGAAAGGCATTTAGGTCAGCCATCAGCAATGCCGCCGCCAAA